GGACGTAATGTGGTTATGTTTGCAGTGTGAACATCATGACATAATCACGTAATAAAAACATAACAGCATGAACATAACGACATAAGGAAAAAAACCACTAATCTTTTCCTAAGGTCTTAATGTCGATGTCCACATTACCCAACATAAGCGATTATGTTGTTACGTCATTATGCCGTTATATCGTTTATGTTGTTATGTTAACTAGGCCTTACTGTTAGAGAAAGTTTAGCGCATGCCACTACAAAGAGAACAAGGAGTACACATTGTTTAAGATTGTTGCACCCTTCATTAACCAAATGACCAAAACCTGAATCTGTGCATTGTAAAGCAGACAGATAGTGAGAAAAAATAGACAATCATCAAATAACGGATATTCTCTTGATGTACAACTATACAGTCACTACCAACACGTGTGACAAATGTATGGTAATTGGAATGGAGAATTCATACTGTACCGTCATACTGCGATGCTTGCTGCATTAAAAACTGGGCTCCTTGCTCCCATTGGTATTCAAGCAGCTCTTCCAGGCTGGTCGGAAGTTGCCTGCAATAACAAGAATGCAAGAATCCATTGTTAAAATACACCAAGTGTTGTGTTTTTTGTCTTGTTTCCAGGTTCTCATGCAGCTAGTTAGCAGAGTAGACTATTGTTGCCTTTGCACTGGGCTAAAACAGTTTTAGTTTCATCTGAAATGAAGCATGCTTCACTGCGGAAAGAGTGGTACTACAGGCGCTGAACTGTATGACCCGCAAAAATATATTAAATTGCCACTTTTACCATCACAAAAGTAAATGAACCGACAGTTGAACACTGTTTCGATAAAATTGCTTCAAATAATACCAAAATATGTCTTGAAGTCATGTTTTGAAGCCTTCAGAGTTTTGTTGGTTCTTTTTATCGCCTTCAAGGAAACGCGTTTTTTTTTCCTGCCACACTCCCACTTTAAATTTCGAGCAATTTTTGATACTGAGCGCTTAGACACAGAATAAATGTAACAGCTACTCCAAGCTCCACTTTCCGGCCGAAGTGTTATCTTTTTACAAATTCTATGTTAACACCTTAAAATGAAAGAGATATAAAACCATGAATGGCACGCGTTTGCAAGCGAACAGTTTAAGAAGTTCTGAAGACCAAATTTGAGCTGCTGGTCTCAATACGTCCCATTGATCATCCGGTGTCATCTTACGAATGGCTATATTTCACAAGGTTGTATACTTTAGTTTGACGGGGAAACAACGTCCGAGCCAAATCAAAATGTAAAATAAGCACTTACAGAGGAGCCTGACTGGTATTGTTCGGTCGATGCACATGCCCATTTTCCAAGAGTCCTCTGTTCCGTGGTTGGGGGATCATGTAGGCATTGGGGCTTGGAGTCCTTGGTCCATTCTGGGGCACGCTAGACCCTTGACTGTTGCCTGTAAACATGTTCTGATTGGAGAAGGTTGCAAATGTTGGCATGGATGTTGATGTCCCCTGGCTGACTTGGGGAAAAGTTGATGGGAAGGCTGTATTTAACGGCGACGTTACTGTATTAGATGACGCAGCATGAGCATTGTTCATACGGACGCCCAATGGAGTGTCTGGCTTCTTCTTGATGGGTGGCCTGCCAACTTTTCTCTTGGGTTCATCACTGGCTTTGGGTGCAGCCCGTTTCTTAGAGGTGTTACCTGTCGCGGTCTGTTTTGGCGTTTGCTTGGGCACAGTCGTCGCTGCAGGCACATCGACATCCATCTGTTTTGCAATCTCGGGTAGAAGGACACTCGTGGAAGGTTGCGGCATTTCCTGTAACTGAGATGCAACACTCTTTGGCAGCATCTCTGGCACGAGAACACTCGCAGGTACTGAAGCTGTGTCCTTAGTGGGTGTCGACGAAAGAGATGTACTGCTCTGAGCAGCAGGCACAGCAGCTGGTAACGGTACTAAAATAGGCAGCGGTGACCGCCCAGGACTATTCCCAGGAATGCTAGGTGGTTTTTGGCTCTCTGGTGTCGTCTTTGTACTACTCGGAGACTCAGTGGGCGTCTTCACAACAGAAGGCTTCCTGCCTCTCTGTTTAGGAGTGCCAGGCTGGTTTGATGAGGTTGATGAACTACTGTCAGACTTTGGCGATTGTTCAGTGGACACTGCAGTAGCTCCAACAGAAAGCCTTGGTTTAGGTGTTGTTTTCTTTTCTTTTTCTTTGTCAGGCTTGGCTTTTTCCTTGCTGTCTTTTTCCTTACTGTCCTTGTTGTCCTTTTCTTTGCTCTCTTTTTCCTTGTTATCTTTCTCTTTTTCTTTTTCTTTCTCTTTCTCTTTCTCTGGCACCTTATTGCTTGATTTCTCAGCCGGTTTGTTGTTAAAGAGAACACCTTTAGCCTGCACAGAAAAGTAAAATGTAGGGTAAGAGAAAGCCTGCATGCGAGCCAAGTGGCTTAATCTCTGGTTTCTGTAGCATGAGGTGACTAGCATGAGGTGACATTTCCATTGCAAGGGCTATCCCCAGCATTGATTTAAAGGAACAGTTTCTCTGTTCGGCTCACGTGCAAGCTATGATGTAGCCTACCCAGTTTCATTGTTTACAGACCAATCAGCAATCAGATATTAGTAGACAACTCATGTCTCCGGTCCAGAATAAAAGCCTCGGGCCAAATAACAGATTTGATGTTTAGTACTAAATTCAACATTTTCTGTGTAAATCCATTGATATCTCCCGCGAAATTTGCGCATCAGTTATTACGGCAGCTCTCGTGTAGCCGTATGGCTACAAAAAGGCTATGACTCTGCTTTAAAAAAAGTATAGTTTGTGATTACTGAAATACATGTGGTTGATACAAAAACAAAAATATTTTTACTGTAATACATGTAGTCGGAACATATGAAAGGAATTCTAACGTCAACAACAAAATTCTGAGTTACATGTAGGTTTTGAACTTCGGAGTTTGCATGTTATTGAAAGGCACAGTAAAAGTCATGATGCAAAAACAAACAAACAAACAAACAAACAAACAAACAAGGATCTTAAAAGAAATTAAAAACTTGAAGTACCTTTTTGTTCCAGTGAAACTGACAGTAGCCCACATACTTGACAGTGGGTCCTGACTGACCGTCATTTTCCTCACACAGTAATCCAGAGCTCTGGGCACTGAAACACAAAAGCCAAATCTAGCATATTACACGGTACCATTAGAAGAAACTGGATTGGTGGTTCGNTTCCGTGGTTGGGGGATCATGTAGGCATTGGGGCTTGGAGTCCTTGGTCCATTCTGGGGCACGCTAGACCCTTGACTGTTGCCTGTAAACATGTTCTGATTGGAGAAGGTTGCAAATGTTGGCATGGATGTTGATGTCCCCTGGCTGACTTGGGGAAAAGTTGATGGGAAGGCTGTATTTAACGGCGACGTTACTGTATTAGATGACGCAGCATGAGCATTGTTCATACGGACGCCCAATGGAGTGTCTGGCTTCTTCTTGATGGGTGGCCTGCCAACTTTTCTCTTGGGTTCATCACTGGCTTTGGGTGCAGCCCGTTTCTTAGAGGTGTTACCTGTCGCGGTCTGTTTTGGCGTTTGCTTGGGCACAGTCGTCGCTGCAGGCACATCGACATCCATCTGTTTTGCAATCTCGGGTAGAAGGACACTCGTGGAAGGTTGCGGCATTTCCTGTAACTGAGATGCAACACTCTTTGGCAGCATCTCTGGCACGAGAACACTCGCAGGTACTGAAGCTGTGTCCTTAGTGGGTGTCGACGAAAGAGATGTGCTGCTCTGAGCAGCAGGCACAGCAGCTGGTAACGGTACTAAAATAGGCAGCGGTAACCGCCCAGGACTATTCCCAGGAATGCTAGGTGGTTTTTGGCTCTCTGGTGTCGTCTTTGTACTACTCGGAGACTCAGTGGGCGTCTTCACAACAGAAGGCTTCCTGCCTCTCTGTTTAGGAGTGCCAGGCTGGTTTGATGAGGTTGATGAACTACTGTCAGACTTTGGCGATTGTTCAGTGGACACTGCAGTAGCTCCAACAGAAAGCCTTGGTTTAGGTGTTGTTTTCTTTTCTTTTTCTTTGTCAGGCTTGGCTTTTTCCTTGCTGTCTTTTTCCTTACTGTCCTTGTTGTCCTTTTCTTTGCTCTCTTTTTCCTTGTTATCTTTCTCTTTTTCTTTTTCTTTCTCTTTCTCTTTCTCTGGCACCTTATTGCTTGATTTCTCAGCCGGTTTGTTGTTAAAGAGAACACCTTTAGCCTGCACAGAAAAGTAAAATGTAGGGTAAGAGAAAGCCTGCATGCGAGCCAAGTGGCTTAATCTCTGGTTTCTGTAGCATGAGGTGACTAGCATGAGGTGACATTTCCATTGCAAGGGCTATCCCCAGCATTGATTTAAAGGAACAGTTTCTCTGTTCGGCTCACGTGCAAGCTATGATGTAGCCTACCCAGTTTCATTGTTTACAGACCAATCAGCAATCAGATATTAGTAGACAACTCATGTCTCCGGTCCAGAATAAAAGCCTCGGGCCAAATAACAGATTTGATGTTTAGTACTAAATTCAACATTTTCTGTGTAAATCCATTGATATCTCCCGCGAAATTTGCGCATCAGTTATTACGGCAGCTCTCGTGTAGCCGTATGGCTACAAAAAGGCTATGACTCTGCTTTAAAAAAAGTATAGTTTGTGATTACTGAAATACATGTGGTTGATACAAAAACAAAAATATTTTTACTGTAATACATGTAGTCGGAACATATGAAAGGAATTCTAACGTCAACAACAAAATTCTGAGTTACATGTAGGTTTTGAACTTCGGAGTTTGCATGTTATTGAAAGGCACAGTAAAAGTCATGATGCAAAAACAAACAAACAAACAAACAAACAAACAAACAAACAAGGATCTTAAAAGAAATTAAAAACTTGAAGTACCTTTTTGTTCCAGTGAAACTGACAGTAGCCCACATACTTGACAGTGGGTCCTGACTGACCGTCATTTTCCTCACACAGTAATCCAGAGCTCTGGGCACTGAAACACAAAAGCCAAATCTAGCATATTACACGGTACCATTAGAAGAAACTGGATTGGTGGTTCGATTGTCCATTTGGAGAAACAAAACAATTTTATTTTGTACTGATTCCACTGGGGCAAGCAGGCACTTTATAAAACCATTCCCTAAAAATCAGACAGCACTTGATGTTGCCCAGTTGATTAAAAAATTAATGTATTTTCCTAGTACAGTTATCACTGTGTAAAATAGTGAGTAACACTTTCACTTCAATTGTCTTTTCACTGTGGCTTGCTAAATCAGTTTTCACTGCTCCCCCCTATTTTGTGACCTATATGAATTTAGTGTGAATTTTTCATTGGCAACTTTGATTTTCACAACCAAGGTTTCTCAAGAATTTTGTGCAACATACCACATTAATAATAATCATAACAAGAACACAGAGAAATGTTAAACATATGTTAAAGTTTTGTCAGTTTTTAACAGCATTTGCTGACGGGTTTATCCTAGTTAAATATGTTTAATATATTAATTTATTATTATTATTATTATCATTATTATTATTATTATTATTATTGTTATTGTTATTATTATCTTTATTATTATTTATAATATTTATCTAGAGCTTTCCTAAGTTTCTTCTAATTTTTAATTTCACATCCTGTGATCAATTCATCTTTGGCAACTTCAATATCTCACCCAAGGTTTCTCAAATAGTTAGGCAATTTATAATAAAAAGCAGTTCAACTATCACTTGCAGTTTAAAATTTTGGACAATTTTTATTTCAGACATAGAAGTGTCCGAAAATAAAACTGTCCAAACTTTATAAGCATTCACCCCAACTCTCGGTGAAAAACAAACCCTGCATTGTTATACCTTAAATGAAGAGAATCACTCACCAAGTGACATGAAAAGCATGCCTGCATCCTGTTTTGTTACAGTTCATACATGCACCATGTGCCGTCTTACTCTCCCTTCCCCTTTCTTCACAGATGTAGCAAGTCTGGAAAGAAATGAAGGCAAAGCAATCCATTGAAAATTTCAGCAGTTATACATATATCAAATACGAAAGACTGTGTTTGACCACATTTACAAACACTGAGAAGAGAGTTGAAAATATGACGTGCAGCAGAGTATTTTTGATGATCTTTAAGGTGTTTGGAAATGTGGTCAAACACTGTCTTGAGTGTTTGATACAGGTATATATCTTCTCAACTGAAACTTAAACTAAGGAGAAAACAGAGAAATAAAAATCATAAAAATCTCTGGAAATTAAGATCGGATATCCAAACACTGTCATGACTTCCTTAATTTTAACATTCAACGAATAACTAATGAGTTTGAGATTGTTGAATAAACAACAGGAGTTTCTCTAAAAATTTCATAACTTCTTTAAACAACAGATTTGTCAAAATTATTCATTTGAAATGGATGGCAAAATCAGCTATCTCCTCTAAGAATCTCTGACAACTCAACTTCAAGGTATTCTGAATGTCACGTTTGCATTGTTTGTAGCCAAGAATATTCTAGGAAAACTCAAACTTGAAATGTCAGTGAATGGATGGACTAAAAACATCCATACATGATAACAGCTCAGATTCTCTCGCATCCAATCAAATGCATGGTTAGCAACCTTAGAGAACTTGCTTTTGATAACAAGTAAACATCCATTGAAAAAGTAACTCATCTAGAATGAAGAAATGGTGGCTAAAGAGTAAACTCTATAGAGGACACTATTACAAATGTTCCTAATGCATAATACATAATATATAAAATACAAGTAACAATACTTTTACATACTCGATGATTATACCACAAAAAAACCTTCTTGTCGAGCAGTCAGCCTTCTGTACTGCTACCAACCTACCTCAGCGCTCCAGGCTGTGATCAAATTGGTCGTAGCTTAGAGTGGTGAGGTAGGTGGGTAGGTAGGTAGTGTCTGCATTATGTCTTGTTGAGTGGATGAAACAGTACCACCAGAGCTAATATCCTGCTTAAGTTCTGAATCATTACATGATTAAGAGTATTTCTAGTCCCTTCTGGATTAGATGCTATAAACACACACACAACACAATTACATTCACAGGGGTCATCCATTTTTACACCTGGGCCCAGTCGTTCAATGGCTGGATAACACTATCTACTGGAGAAGTCACTAAACAGTGGATAAGTTTTGACAAAACAAACTATGCTTTCCACTAGATAGTGTGTTATCTGGTGAATAGCATTATCCACCCTTTGAACAACTAGAGCCTGGGTGGAGAGAGGCACTGCGACAGCAGTGTCTTGCCCAAGAACACAATTAGGGCTCAAACCCAGACTGTTCAATCCAGAGTCCTGCCCACTATTAAACCACAAGGCCAACAAGCAAAATTTATCAGAGCAAAGCTAGCTTTTTCCAAAGAGATTTGTTTCTAAAATGTAACCTTTCTTAGCTCGAGGTATGGCTTTCTTATTAAATATAAGTACCTTTTAATTATTTTTTATTTGTTATTAATTAATTACAATGCCAACCTTCCAATTACATAAAGCAGCCACATTATGTACAATACTACTTACAGTATTTACCGAACTTACTAGTTGACAATATCACACATTATGTATTTAACATCAGTACCTTGCAGAAGCGATCATGTGGCACAGATGCCAAGATAATCGGCTCCATGGATGTGACATTTCCAAATCGCACTTCAGGAATGTACAGTGCACAGACAACATGAGCCCAGCCTACAAAAAAAGAACACGAAAAAATTTAGCATATTTTGTTCTTGTACTCACGATATAGTGAACAATAATGATAATAAAACAAAAAAATTGTGTTGAGACATTTGCTTCCATTTTTCCATTTCTCATTTCTTCCTCAGTTTTGTCAATTGTGGTGTGACAAATTATGCATAGCCTGATGTATGGTTAGAGCTACTGTTCATCTTAAATGAAAAAGCTACATATAAGGACATCGTGCTACAGAAAGCCATCATTAGAATTTACTCAAAATCAAAAGTACAGATTTTAATAGGAAAACGTGAGACAGTTGTAACCTGCCAGAACAGGAAATTTAACCAGCCCAGACCAACTTCATTTCAATTATGAATTTTACAATAACTGCAGAAATTCTCATGCACTCAATGGCTAATTTTCATCATCAATTTAAGTGGACAGACACATGAATTTATAATTTACGCCATGTTGACGGGAACAGGAAATTTAACCAGCCTAGACCAACTTTATTTCAATTATGAATTTTACAATAACTGCAGAAATTCTTGTGTACTCTTTGGCTAATTTTCATTGTCAATTTAAGTGGACAGACACATGAGTTTATAATTTACACCATGTTGATGGGATGAGGGAGAGCGGGCAATTTGACAATTTGTTGTTAGTCTAATTTCAGAGCTGCACAAAGAGTTTCAGCAATCTAATTGGTTCAGCGATCCCTTATATGACGCTATATAAACTACGCTAGGCGGTTTATATATCATTTTCGAGACCTGGCTACTAAGCTTGCCACCTTTGCCATCTCGGCAAGTAAACATGGCTGACAGTTGGTGAATGAATTTTTCATCTATTTGGAAGACTGTAGACATCACTATAAGTCCAGGATATTTGAAAGGATGGAGAATTTTCAAAATAAGTGCTGTCATCCTTGGACCAAAGATCCTTTCAAGAACTTATGTTCAAGGCAGTTAAGAATCGTAAATGCAGTGGTTACGCTGATTGCCACAGGTCAGATCGATTGACTGAAATCTGTTTTCTCCAAACTAAAGCTACTCATTTTGAGACAATGTTGACAACTGTGGATGAAGTCAATAGCAATAAAACAAAGGTACGGGATGAATTTATTTTTCGTAGTGTTTTGCTTGTTTGTTTTACTGCCGAACTCAACGAGTACACTGATTCACAATCGATGAAAGCTTCCATGTAAGCTTCTTATTAAAACTATACGGCTACATATGTGTATCCAAACAAATGATTGGGTCCCTGTTTTTATACTAAAACAATTATTCGCCTTAGGCTCAGTGAATATTGTCAAATAATCCCCTCAACTTCGTCTCAGGGATTGTTTGACAATATTCACCTCGCCTTTGGCGAATAATTGTTAATTGTAAAACACTGAATTTTGTCATAACATTGTCAAGGGAGTCTGCGGATCCACTTGTCATGTTATGACGAAATTCGTGATCAATAACAGGACTGACACAGGAAAAACTGACACTTGGAAAAGTCTGCAGACTCTTCCAGACATTTCACATCATTATTTTCCACACTTATGTCCAGCTATATCTCCAGGTCCGAAAAATTGTATAGTAGACAGAACATTTTTGGCATCTTCTAGCTTTCCATGTTGATTGTTTTCTACATAAAACACATACAGTGTACATGTACATAATGAATAGGTTTGGTTTTGTCTGACTGACTGACATTGGGTCCACGTGAATGGCTTATCCAGGTTCCTATTGATATTCATATCATACACAGGGATAAGCATACAGCTACACCTGCGAGCCTGAGTGTTAAATGTCATCTGCGTAGGGTTACCTACATCTGTACACCATGTAGCTCTGTCTCAAATGCAATATTTACTAGTTACAGAACAAGGTACACAACAAAATGAGATAGCACTAAAGTATAAATTTGTGTGACTATCTGACACAAAAACCAAAAACCCCACTGTACGTTACAACTGCCAATCCTTATATATATCTTAAAACAAAGAAAAAAAAAGTTCTACTGCACTCATGCATTTCATACCAACAGGAAAATATTTGCATTATCTGCCATTCCACTCGGAAGTCTAGTTTTGACGAGTGTAAATATATTTCCATAGCATGCAAATAGGAATATTGCCATTTGTTCAGGATGGAGTGCAACTTCCATCTTGGGTTAGTCCCAAGTAATGTGTCCTAACAGTTTTCTGGTGCCTTTTTATACTATTGAGTGACAATGAGAGTAAAGTGTCTTGTCCAAAAACACATCACAATGAGTCTGGTCAGTGCTCAAACCTGTCCAGAATACTCAATGCTACCAGCACATAAGCTTCCCATACTGTCAACACCAAGACAATAACATCCCCTTGTGTAAATGTAACTACTGAAAACATACTGTACAGTAATCCAGTGGTTTCATTAAGTAAACATTTTCAGCAGAAAGGCGACTGGTATTCACAGACAGACTATGAAAACCTACCTCTAGAGAGTAAAACCAGTGGGGCAATATCATCCTCACAGCCAGTCAAATCACCTGGTGCCTGGCCCTTAATCAAACCCCTGGTAACTTGGATTTACAAATACTAACCTCCAGTGTCTGTTCTCTTAAGGGCACCCTCTTTGTACGGACACAACTCGCATTTCTATAAAGTCAAATTGTTATTATTTTTATTAGGACAATGTCACTTTAATTCACTGAGATCTTAGAGCTAAATGGCACAGTTGAAACTTGCTTTTTTGAATTCAGATATCTTGAGTTAGGTGATTCATATTTTTCCATGTGCATATAAAGCAATTTTGACTTTAAGTGATACTTTAACAATCCTTGGAGACCCAAGGATGGGTCAGGGGCAAGTAAACCTGGCAAAAAGAGAAGTGACAAATATTTCAATAAGGACAACTTTTGTCACTTTAATTGAAATTTTTAAATCTTTTCCATATTTATGATATGTACATACAATCTAGGGAATCTACTGTAAACCTTGATACTCAGTTTTTCTAAAAATAATAGGAAAATAGAGAACAAAATTGAAGCAAATCAAAGAACACCAGAGGCAAATCACACTTTTTTGCCTTGAGTGCCACACACTATCAGAGAATTTTAAACCTGCAAAGTCCCTTGTGGTCCTAGGAACCTGCCAGGTAAGGGAGCAAGATCTAATGCAATCCAGCAGCATTTCATCAAATCAAACCAGTCAGCAACATTTGTTTCAATTGAGACAAAAGAGGACGAATGCTGTTTGGATTTAAACAACCTCTCAAGCATCGTAATGAACTTCTCCTCAAAAGGAGACCTCCAGTTTTCTTCTCAGCATATTCATGTTGTGAACTGAAATTGATATTAATCATTCTTGGAGAGAAGAGGTTGAAACTAATTTTGCATTAACAACGACGTGAGAATCCTAGAAATTTGATGCAAGTTGGTCCAGGTCTATATAGTAACTGTGCTAAGTGTAAAAGCATAAGATATTTGTCCCATTGAATCCTCTACAAACTATCCAAAAACTGCATCAAAACAGCATGAAATCTACAACTCGCGCGTACCGAAGTCACGCTATCGTGTGAAACGCGAGCTTTGAATTGTCACAGCCTTCTTCCGAGGAAACGAAGAGACGAAGCCCAGTAAACAATCATTTCACAAATAAGCTAAAAACCACGGTCACCAGCACTATGCGACAAAACCGCGTTTGTTTAATTTGTCAAAGTCTTCGGTTTAATACAACAAGCTCAACTTACCACTCGAGCGATTCTCTCCTGCGATTCACATTTCCGACAAAACCAAGGTCCCTTTGGAACTTGCACGATACCGTAACACGCTGATTATCAAGAAAATAGAAGCGTCAGATTATCAAGCAAGCTTTACCCTTGCTAGGAGAATCAAAGGCGTCTAAAGCAAAGCTTTAATACCTTGATGCACAGCAACGTTGCAGCCATGTCCATCGCAGTAAACCAGTGGGTTTTCATCCCAACCTCTCTCGTCCGAACAAACGCAGCAACCTCCTATCATCTCTTTTACCATGTTTAGCAAGTTCGACGATTATGAAGCCCTTTGAAGAGCGTTACTATCCTGGATTACAGGTTATCAAACAGCGGGGAGACAAAAGAACGCCGCGCCATAGATTCAGAGCAATTCTCAAAAACAAAATGGACGCGCGAGGCTACATGACTTCAGTGCGGCTGCGTGACATAAAAGTATTCGCTGACCTAACACTTGGTTGATTGCGGAACACGAAAACTTGGCCAAATTAGAATTATCCATGTTCTTGGTATCTTTTACCCATTTTTCATTTGATCATTATCGGATATTTTTCTGGAAATCATTTTAGCCATAAAATGCTACAATTTTCACTGAAGTCAGTGAAAAAAAAAAAGGATTTTCCACGGAAGTTTGAAGTATGGTGGGATATTTTTGCCTTGGCTTTCTAATACGATTATTCAACTACAAAATTAAAATCTCTTTAACAAATATTATTACAAGAATGAACAGCGGAAATAAAAGGTCAAATAAAGATCAAAGGTTACCTTACCATCCCGTCCCCTTCAAAAAGCGCTTATCGTTGAGACTGGGGCGAGAGGAAAGCGAGGAACTGTTCATTTCCCACGAGGCACTTCGCGTCACTAGGCTGCGTTCAACGATTCAAAATGGCTGGGAACAGTCAGCAAAGCATGGAAACAGGCTCTATTTCTAGTCGTGTAGATGTCGACAATCCGCCTTTCTCTCGTATCTTTATAGTCTGTAGTAAGAAGCACACGTCAGATGACATGAAGGCTGCATTTGAGCAGTTTGGGGGCATCGAGGATATCTGGGTTGTCAAAGACAAGCACACGAAGGAAAACCGCGGCGTATGTTACATCAAGTTTGCGAAAGCGTCCTCCGCCGCTAGAGCTTGCGAAGAAATGGATGGAAAGGTGATTGGGGAAGATCCAAAGCCCATTAAGGTACGTCAAGATTCTAATTCCCTCAGTGTTCAAACAATTTATCGTTGCCATCAAATTTTGAAGTTTGCGTTAAAGTTTGTGAAAGCATTCTGGCAACCTACTAATTACAAAATGCCATGTGCGCCGACAGAAAACAACAGCAGTCAGAGGTTTGGGGCGTTTTTTTCCGTGCAGCGATTTCATGTTTCATGAATATTCTTAGTCCTTTGAGATTTGGATTTTGTCTGAGATGCTGTTGAAGAATTTTGCCGGATTTGTTGGCGGATTAGAGGAAAAACACTAAATTTATTATCTTTAAAACGAGTGCTTTAAAAGCGTTCAATAATTTATATTACATGACCACTTCTTTACCATCAGTTTAGATTATGGCTGAGTCCATTTAAGAAAAATTGCTTTACCACAGTTTTTTTTTTTCTATGAGTTGCTTTATTAAGCTTTCTTTTCTCTCAAAATTTTCATTTGCATGTTATTTGTTCAGTGTATACTAAAATAAGTTTAAATGACCCAAAAAATTCACTGTGGCTGTTGCAACGTGGAATAGCAAACTAGATCTTTTTCCAAAGCATAAATTTTTCACGTTCCCCAATTAACTTCACAATTGGCAGTAGACTACCATAACTCTTACAACCTCAATTCTTTATCAGACTTTGAATGTATTCAAAACTTGACAACTTTAATTAGGTTTTCGAATTTGAAAGTTGTGTTTTGGTTTCTACATGTTGTCCCTGCAGCTCAATTCCATTAGCCCTTTGTTCAAAGCAATGAGAGGAAACTTTTAAAAATTCATGACAAATTACTAGTCCTTATCTTGTTTTGTTGTTTGTGTGGAAGCTTGACGCCCTATTGGGATGGAGATTCTAAAAGGATTTTCCCTTCCAAAATAAATTTTTCATAGGTGCATTAAAATTATCTGCTTCCTCAAAAAGACAGATTACCTGATTCATAGCTTCCAGATACATTTATCTTGACAATATGTGAAAAGATTGCTAGATTTGTCTAAAAGATGCCTTGTGGAAAGTATAGTTGTTATGAAAACATGCATGAACCTTTTTTTCAACAATAATTGAATTTTGAAAAGCTTGCATATCTCAACACCAATATTGTTGTTAGAGTTTTCAATTAAACCTATAGCTATAATTGCACTCTTCGTAAATCAAACTTAAATGTCTTTTTTTTAGAAAAATGGCCAATTATTTTGTAGGTGTTTTGAAATTACTTTAGCGTTGCCAAATTTGCACCTGGCAGTCTCTTCCTAATAACATTGTACTGTGTATTTTACATTTTTGGAAATTTGGAGTTTGGGAACTGTGAATTTCCCATTTCACTTTGTTGTTTGTTTTGTGCGATTGCATTCAATCTGTTTGTGTCTCCTAAACTAGTAAACACGTGTACAAATTTGTAAACAGATTTCTCATTTTGCATGCATATAACTGCTATATACTGTGGGATTTTGTGTTTTCTAATTTTTGTATTTATTTATATGTTAACATCTGTTTCTGGGGCTATAAAATTTCTGTCAAGAGAAGGACGATTAGTGATGCCAAGATATGGTGTTAATATTAATGTCCTGCAGAGCAGGTTTCTACCAATCTCATATGATTTGTTGATACTCAGTTTTGTTTCATTTGAAGCAATCAGTTTTATCTTCAACCTCATTCTGGTTGTGGCCAAGGCTTATCTATGTTTCTGTGCAAACAAAATTGAAGACATTTATTTGATAAATTAGTCTCTCTATATCAACAAGCAAGCGAAATGTATTTTGGGGTAGACCAAAAATGCTAAGTAGTACAATCACTCTGTTATTCCTCGTACTCAGGTGTATACAACTTGTAGGAAAGGGAAAAACTCTGTAGTGCTATTTCACGCTTCCCTAGCATTAGCAAATAAGAAATATTGCTACTTTCTTTTGATGGGAAGCTAGTCCTTCACAGTGCGACAGTAATTAATACATGTATGAAAGATTTATTAAAGAAATCTCTTAGCAACAATTTGCACTTAAGGCTAGAGAGAGGCATTTTTGAATTAAGTGTCTTGCCCAGATGTAGCAGCACAGCATAGTTACCAATACATGTACATGTACAATGTATGCAAACTGCAAATATTACTAAAGGTTTCATAATTTATTTCAATCATGCTAGATTTATCTACATTGTGGTACAGGTATTTCAGTGCATGAACTCTACATCTCTGGGTGTCGACCAAGTAAAATAAGCATAATAAAGTTTGACTCTTTGGTGCTTTGTTGAGTATCAGTTGACTTTCAGCAATTCAGTTCATACTAGCTTGCATCAATTCTGTGAAAATTGATTGTGGGCAAACTTGAAACACCAATTCTGGTAAACTTGTTTAATACCAGTATTTCAAGTATTCAGTTTATTGCTGCAGCACTACAAGTTTTTGTTTCTCTTGCTTTCACAGGCAATGATTGCCCAGTCTAAGGTTTCAGGCTCCAAAACAGATTTTCATGATGAAACAGCACTCACCCGTCTATTCATTATCTGCCCCAAAGAATATTCAGAGGATAACTTGCGCCAGAAGTTCCAAGGCTTTGGGGAGATAGAGTATGTTCAGGTAGTACGTGATCACAAAACTGGTGAAAACAAGGGATTTGGTTACGTGAAGTTTAAAAAGTCGTCGTCAGCAGCTGTTGCCCTTGAAAACTGTGACAAAACCCTTAAGGCCGTCTGGGCAGAACCCAAGTCAGCCAAAATTGCTCGGAATGCAGCTGCAGCAGCTGCAGCAATGCAGTCCACATTGATCCCACACAATCCTTTCTTAGAGGCAAGCAACTACCCACCTACTGCTACACCCTCAGTCAACATGAATGCAAATGCTTCAGCCTCCCTACAGGGGGTTGTAGATTACTATAGTGGGCAAAACCCCGTGGCAGCCGTAGCAGAATCAATAACAACATCGCATACCCCCACGCGACTGTTTGTCAAGGTCTCCCCGATGATAGGACCGGAACAGCTGTCACGCTTGTTTGACATCATCCCTGGTATGCAAATGTGCGATTTAAAGCGGAACTTTAACACTGGGGAATCAAAGGGGTTTGCGTATGTCACATACAACTCTGTAGGGTCTGCAATATATGCCAAAGAAAAGCTCAATGGGTTTGAATACCCCCTGGGTTCAAAGCTTGTGGTAAAGTATGCGGAAGATCCCCCAGGGATGCGCAACAATGGCACAGGACAGGGCAGTGATGCAACTTTTCAGGTTCAGTCATATGGTTCTAAGTCGTCATTAACAGGTGGTTCCTTCGCCGTGGACTCAACTGCTGTTTACACGTCAGCAGCCCTCCCAGCACCATCTCCTTTGGCAGATGCAAACTCTGAGGTGGCATCAAGGCTGTTTATAGTTTGCCAGCCAGCACCGCCACCAGAGAACGCACTAAAAGATGTCTTCAGCAGGTTCGGAAACCTGATTGACGTGTGGATGATGAAGGATCGTAACTTTGGTTACGCCAAGTTTGCAAGCAAGGAGTCCGCTGATGCAGCTATAGAAGGTATACACGGCCATGAAGTGCTGGGGATGAAGCTTAAGGTGATGCATGCCGACCCACCAAAGTCAGAAGCTTCCAGAAAACGCCCACGCACATGATGACCCCCCCTGAATTATTAATGGAACCACATTGCCACTGTAGCATGGATTGATGTATAAAAGGTAAAGTACAAACAGTTTCACATTTATTTCTCATACAAGACACCTGCTAAAAGTTTGGGAACAGACTAGATTACAAGCTTTTCCTCATATGCAAGCACACACGCTCGACTGCTACAAGGGCTGCTACACCTACCTGACGCTAGGAGAAATATGGGACTTGTGGACTGGACATGGACTACACTTGACTGCACGTCACAAAATATGTGGAACTTATGGACAGAACATCACTGGCAACACAGCACTTACAGACTGCGTCAGGAGAGATATGCCTCTCGTGGACTGTAATGTACATCAAGACTTGTGGACTGAACCTCACAGAGGATTTAGGACTTCAGGACGTAACTTCACAGGAAATGTCATGGGACTTGTGACTGAACTTCCTACGTTTAAGAGATACCAGTCTTACGGCTTAACATTACGTCACACGAGACGTACAGTGTTACAGGGCGTGTGCATGTACTTTTAGTTGTTGTGGAAAAGCAGGCAATCAAGGATGACCCTAACACTTAAACTTTGAACTTTAGCGTGAAAAGAACTATTGTCTTATATTAATTAACATATTTTATGATTTTAACTCCATGGTAGATTGCTCGGCTCTTGATAGTGCAGTTTAGTCACAGACAGCAAGCTTTGTTGGGTCTTAGCATAGGTTTTCAATGTCAGGTTGTTTTACTACACAGTGGGTACTTTAATTTGTAACAAGTCCTTTGTGGCCTCCATCCATGCAGTTTTAAAATATATTCAACTCAGTGGCTGCTTACATTTAATCAACCGCAATTCGTTCAAGTTGTCACAGGATTCAGGTTTCTCTTGTATAGTTCGTTGCCTCTGTGATGTTGAAATCTGGTCCTGAAACATGCGCCTCCAATGTGATTTTAGTGCAGCCATTTTACCGCTTGTTTTTCTCAGTTCTTTTGCAACAAACTATCAGCTATAAGGGAAAGTAGCCATTGCTCTTTGTTTGTCTTTATATGAACATTTACTAATGGATAAAAATTAAGTAGTGTTATATTTAAAATCGGGAGAATTGACAGACTGGGGTGTCAATGAATGCCCATGTTGATTTCTTTCTCATAAATTATATAATGCCTGCAAAGGTCCAGTACTGTGGCAATTGATTAATTTTGTAATGATTGGAAAAGCATCTTAAATGGATCTTGGTCTTGCATTTTAGCTCTCTGTTTTTCATTACATGCAGGTTAGGTTTTGTAGTAAGAGTATCAAAATAATGTAGGTTGTGTTAGTTCTTCAAGGGAGTATAAAGTTAACATAGTGATTTTTTTGTGCCTCGTAGTGCTCATTTTGGTGAGGATATTGTCAAGTTTTAGTAATATTTTAACTCCCTTTTCTTACATCACGTTGCTGAAAGTTATCTTAATATTATTATATTTAAAACAAGGCTGATTTGTAATTCAGTAGATGAAAGCTTTGTGATGTGTCTTGCAAGATTTGTTATCTGGAAGTTGTTGGATGATTTTGATGAAAGGAAAAGTCACTATAATTGATTTTCTAGAGTGAATTACAATGTAAGAAACATGTCACACGTTATATCTCACAACTTGTAGCATTGTAGCTTTAAAAAAAAGCTGTGAACGATTTTTTTAGGGTACAAAAAATCTCTTAGGGATATTTACCAGTTCTAAAGGTATACGAGTTGCTTTTTTGAAAGTTGAAGTTCTTGTCATGTAATCTGTTATTTGCAGGGGGAGACCGTGTGATGAGCAAAAATACCTGTATAGATTATGCAAGTATGTAATTGGAAAAATAGTTCCACAGAAACATTCTGTTGTAATGTCGAGAGGAATGAAAAAGGGAAAAAAGTCAGTTACATTTTCCCAAACCTTGCCCCCAGCTAGCGTTTTAGGCTAAATTATCATCAAATCAGTTGTAATTAATCCTAAAATGGTAATTGGCTGACGACAAAGGGGAAGAAAGCAGTTTGTAAAGATTAAGACGAGATGCAAACCATTTGCAATGACGTTCTTTCCTGAATAATATACACAGAGAAGATAAGTTGATTTGCGACATTGAAATCATTTGCCGTTGTGACCTTACGAAGTATATTTTACGTTGTAGCAAATGAACATATTAAACTCTGTTTGAATTCCATTGCTTGCCCCTTTACAGAAGATGAAGTTTCTTGATCCTCTACCATTGTTTCGTAAAATTTGCATACTGTTGGTCACTAAGAGCGATTCACTCTTCACTGAGCATAAAACACGTCTTTCTCGTCGGCTGTTTCCCTTTATAATGCTCTCCACAAGAAACATTCTATTAGTGAATGGCGTCCAACGACTAACGTGGCAGAGTTTCCTCTTCCTCCCTCTGTTTCTATGCGCCCTAGACAAGATTGGCTCTTTGGGTGATATCAGAAATTTTTCTCGATTACAGTTTGCAGTTGTAAGTTAACAAATTGACGCCAGTTGTTCATGCGTCTCTCCTTTTATTGATCATGAATTTCGTCGTAACATTGTCAAACAGACTACTTTGACCTTGTTCTTGTCCGCTCATTGACAATGAAAATTAGTGAATGACGGCGCGAAAATTTCTGCAGTTGTTAAAAAACATCGTACTGCGCATATCAGTATATTTTGAAATCCTGATCTGAACTGTGTTTACGCTCTCTCATGGTCAAAACCATTCAAGAGAAGATGAAGAGTAAAGAAGTTGATCCTCCATAAAGGCCGTATGCCTCAAGCTATTTTTAGATCAGTCACGGTTTCGGAAATCCTGAAGGCCTAGAAATACCCCATCCTGTGACGTGGGTTTTACTCGCGTGGACAGCCCAGGTAGCTTTACATGCATTTCCATCCTCCACGAAAACTTTCATGCAACGCGCGCGCATGGTGGCATTATCCGCTGAAGAACTAGCTGGGTACCATGTCTGAAATAATTTCAAGGTTGCCTAATTAGGGGATTAACTCACTTGTTCTTCTACCTCTTTTGAACGAATTTAAAAAAGACCTGAACGGTCTTTTTGGAGTACAGACATCGTGAGATTATCGTTCTCGTTTAGTGCGTTATTTTGCGTGCTTCTGATTCGGCGAAGGAGGTGGAAAATACAGAGTTGGGAGAACAGTGCCCGGCTCACCATCAAAAGTTCTCTTTTCCGAAATTCCGTGTTATCGTGCTAAATGCGTGCCATGAATTCCACAAATAAATTGGTAAAAAGATGCTACAGAGCAAAATAAAACAAGTATTTTGACGGGGAGGCACAGGTTTCAGTTTTTCAGTTCAGTTTTTTAATTATTGCACACTATTTACAGAAAAACAACAGGATCCCACGGATGGAAGTGGATAATAGTTGGTCAATTTATAGCTGGTTTTCACATGACGTCACTAAAATTCAAACTACAAAACTATTGATATTCCTGAGATTTTACTTTAATTATGTATAAGAGCAGCTGAAAACTAATATTCGTACAAATTTTCGCTCCGAATTGGTTCTTGGTTTTGTGATACACTACGCTTGAATTTCGAAGCTTTTGCATGACGTGGCATTTACATGACGNTTTTGAATGGCGTGACACTAAAAACCAGCAATTTTTCTTGCTCTGTTCTTTCAGAAACCCTGAGATAGAGTTTGGACGGATTGCATTCCACAGGTTCTGGAACAGCCGGGAAAAGCAGCTCTTACTTGGTCACGGGCCTTTGCAAATTTAGTGGGCCGAGAGAGGAACTGGACCGGACAATTGAAACCTGCTTCCCAGTCCCGCTTCTTGACTAAGCGTTAATCCTGGTGAGCGTGGAGACTGGGACAGAATAAAGGGAACTTTCCAATTAGCTAAAGGAGACAATTCTTTTTCAAAGCAAATTTGTAACAAAAATTTTAACCTTACAAGAGACCTCGCTGGCTTCGGATTAGTGAAGAGATGCGATTCAAAGTGGAATTATCGTTTTATTGATAGAATTAACGAGTTTTAAAGTGCACACGTAATCAAAAAGCATCACTAAAGGCACTAAATAAAATATGATTTTATTTGGGTTTTTTTTGAAGCGTATGGCACTTGATTTAGCTGACCGTGTTCGTCCAGTCTGTTGGACATACAGCAAAGTGAAACTAAGTATACTGTATCGTGGTAAATGTACTTACTTAACTGACAACAGGCTTCGTTTGTAGTAATGTGAAACATTTGGAGTTGATAAAGGTACATTAACGCCGTAACAAGTTTTGTCGTCAAACTAGCGTTTCAAGCCTTGCTGTTCATCAGACCAAGTGTTTGCTCTGTGGAGAGACTGATGCTTGAAAAGTAAACTTGACAATCTGGTTACGGCGATGTAGTCACCTTTATCAGTCGTATTAACATCAAGTTGATAAATAGCTGTGTGTTTTACTTGCTCGCCAACCCAGACCAACATTTTCTTTAGAACCTGCTAAACAACCCTGTGTATGTAATGATCCGTGTTTTTTGAGTCCCATATTTAGTCTACAATAACCTAAATATCCCACCATTTGTTACAGTAACAGTAGGAAAAACGAAACCAAGCTTTTTGTACAGAGGTAGAGCTTGTATATTTACTCGGTCGCTTATTTTTCTGTGTTATTTTTTCCTTCGTTTTTACTCTTTTATTTAACGTTTTGCTTATGAATAACAGAGCTCTGGAAGCAAAGTTGTCAGTAATATTTTACACAACTGCAAGTGACTTCAATATTGTTTCCAGTACTTAATGAGTTGACGAGATGGCGATGTTCTTTACTGGAGCATTTCTGTGTTTTAAAACTATACTGGGATTTGAATTAGCTTACAGAGTATTCCGTTCATGATAAGCAATATAGCCAAATGAAATTATACCTCCATTTAACCATTCACTTTAAGAAAAGTGAATGAATGGCAAAAAGGTAACAACAATTTAACAAAATGCGAGGCTGGGAGGGTTGATGGCAGCTGCTCAGGAAAATGTTAAGACGTCCGGTCACCGGGCACAGAGTCAACAGTTCAATTGAAGAACATTTATCAAGGCATTTTTACATCAACGTCGATATGGGTGATGTGATAAATAGTTATTGACTGAGTTTTAGGTCGGTTTGTGCGTAAAATTAATCATTGGCGGGGTTACTTTTCTATGCTCTGATAAAACATAGCTTTTCAGGTCAATCTGAAGGCGCGCAGAATTTCGAACTGCATTATGAAGACTGCAACCTCGTTCCCAGGGTCTCTCTTCTTCCCACCCGGGAGGCGGAAGAAGAGAGACCCTGGAAACGAGGTTGTGAAGACTGATGACTCATTAAACAAGCAGAGACAATTTTCCTTTGAGCAGGGCTGACTCATTTTGATAAAATCAAGGATATTTTTTTTTCTAAAAGCACCCAGGGTTCTCAGTAATCACTAAGTGTCAAAAATCCTGATTATTCAAACGATTATGCGTAATAACCAGTCGTGTTACAGGCCATTTAGCGTCGTTATGCAGCACGTAGCAATGACTAATGACACGCTAAATTCTTATACAATGAGATAATGGGAAAGTGTGGAATGTCAGGCGAATTAAGATTTTAAGTTAGGGGTAAAAAAAGGGTAGGAAGTATATCAGTTTATTTATGTATAAATGTTAAAAGAAAAAAGAAAAAAAGAAATGAAATTATTGAAACGATATCTATAGAATATCGACAGAGCTACGCGCCGGTCATTTTTGGTCTTCTCAATGATGCCCTAGAATCGGCATACAGCTACGTGTATTCAGTTTCAAAGTCAAACACTCCTTTCTATTGACATGCATCGAATTTACATTCCATTCAACGTTAATAAGGAGTCGTCTCCACTCTCGGACCCGCTCGAAACCTCTCCCGACCCAGATCCCGCTTTGCCCGATCCTTCTTCGTCGACTGAATTACCGGTTTTGGCCGGTTTGGGGCCGAAGCCAACCGGTTTCATCTCGCACATGAAAATCATTGATCCAATAGTTGGGTTAACACACAGCTCGTCGTTCCATTGCATGGCCCTCTCGCCTGTCCAGAGGTACATGTGCCCGCAGTTCTCGCCTCGACCGTCAAAGTTATTTGGTTCACTGAGAGCCCAGTTGGAGTACAAAGTGGGCAGCGGATCATCCACCCATGAAAATTGTTCATCAGGTGAGCCGCGCAGTAATCCGATCCACATGAACCTTGACAAGAAAAGTAAAATACAATAAGAAAAGAGATCCAAACTCAAGACTAAATTGTCAATAAACGACAATTTAAGAACCTGCTGGCAGACATTTGCCTTTTTAATACCCAACAATATAACAACCTGTTTAGCCAAGCAAGATCAAGCAGGTTCTTATGTATATGTACGTGGGTTACAGTTAAATTACGATGAACATTTTATTTAACCTAGGACTGTAACTTTGAGATTGCGAATTTACATTGCAAGAAAATACATAGCACTTTTGTGAATAAATACTGTATATAATAATAATAATGATAATAATAATAATAATGATGATGATGATGATAATAATGATAATAATAATAATAATAATAATAATAATGATAATAACAATAATAATAATAATAATAATAATAATACAGTGGAACCTCCGGTTGCGACCACCTCTCGTAAGCGACCACCTCTCCTCAGCGACCAGTTTTCCAAAATACCAAAAGTTTCCAAGTCAAATCACTATATTTGGAACCTCTTGTAAGCGACCACCTCTCGTAAGCGACCGCGACCGCTTTTAGAGCTAAAAGGTTGAAATTTTCTTTTGTTTTTGACCTCCCGTAAACGACCACTTGACAGATAATAGAGCAAACATTGAATAATAAGGTGTTGTAACATCACATTCCTGAATAGTGGAAGAGACGGAAATTTCTCAATGGGAAGTACCCGATTTTTCCTGGAAATCTCGGACTCTTGACATGAATAAAACATTTAAAAATTGAAACAAAATATACACATAGACAGTACGCTATCAGTCTCAAAAGAAACGACCTTAAAATGACTTAAAATTACCATATGCTGATGATGAGGCAAAATTTTGACCCAATATGGATTAAGCTCTCATAAGCGACCACCTCCCGTAAGCGACCACCTAAGCTTGACATTTTGGGTGGTCGCTTACGGGAGGTTCGACTGTAATAATAATAATAACAATAAAAAAAAGCACCTATTTTGACAGACTTAAAAAAATGTAGGTTCTTACATGTAGGTTTTTATTGTACGTCACTGTTTGCGAATCTTAAAAAGTTTAGCCTAAATTTCGTCCTTTGTAATCCTGTATGGTTTATTATTATCTCTTTGGTGTTTTATTTTCAGGCTTCCTTCAGATAGAATGAGCACGGTTGAAAATAATTAAGTTGGTTGACAGAAAGTGGGGTTTGGGAGGTGACGTAGGGTTAAATAGAAATGTGGTTCAGTCACGTCTCCCAACTAATCACAGTTGGATTTTCTCGATGGGTTTAATGGGAGCGCCAGCCGCGCCAGGTTGAGACTTCCAGCGACAAATAATATTTGTGTTACAAACAAAAGTTCAGTTTTACGATGAACTCCGATTGCTTTTTCGTACTGGCGAATGCAAAGTCCTTTTTTTTTCTTGGATAGATCTTAAGGGTCGGAGACGTTTTGATGCAAAAACAAACATTTTCTTAAAATTGTTTGTCTCTATAACTTGAGTAGCAGTCGTATGTGCAAGTTGGAGCGGTGCCACGCGCGAGGCGGAGGAGGAAGGATTCCTTCCTGGCGAGTCTCCGCGCTCGCGTTTCTTTTCTCTCTTGTACGTCACGCCAGTTCGCCCTTATTATTATTCACGCGCCTGCTGTCCACGACCGTTCAGGCAGTCTTTACTGATTTGTTCAAGTTCTTTTACCTTTCATTGGCAGCTTTAGAGCGCGCTAGCGTGTACACAAAGTGGTTCTCCTCTGGAGACTCAATGTCGACCAGGTCTCCTCCGTGTTCCTGGCAAACCTGTCTAGCCTGATTCCACTGATCTGTTAACCGGTTGAACACCAAGTAACATGACGAGTGATATCCCGTCCAACCTTGCGGGCACCCGCCAGCTGCGGAAAACAAAATGAACCTAGAGTGAACCTTTTCAAACTCATTCATAATTTATTTTTTATTTAAACAAATATGGAAAATCAGTGTGGAACACACTTTACCGCTCGTGTTTCGTGAACCTATGAAATCCCAGAGTACGCATACATGAGTGAAAACCTGTAGTACCAAGGCCGGGTAGATAAAACACATGTGGTGTGGTTTATCTTACAAGGAAGAAGTGAAGAAATAAAAAGATTGAGGAAAGAAGAGAAAAAATTAAAAAGAAAAGTAAGTTCACCTTCAATTGGACCGGCCACAGCCTCGACTTCACGCTGAGTCAGGGCCCTGTCGTAAACTTGCATTCGGGATATCCTACCATTGAAATAGTTCCCATCATTCGTAGCCCGCGCACCCATTCTCACACTCTTTGATGTTGAGAGTCTTATCTTGGTGCCAATATTACGCTGACTGCTCACCTGGCCATCCACCCACAGCTTTGCAACGCCACTGTTGTGGTCATAAGACATTCCAACGTAATTCCACGCGTTTGTTTTCAGCGGCAGAGCGCTGATGAAACAGGTCTTGCAGCCCCCATCATCTTCGACGAATTTGGCGGACAGATAATGTTTTGAATTCACCCAGAGGCTGACTCCCCAGCCCAGCGGGTTGTAGTTGAAAATAGGTCCACTTCTTGACTTGACGTAAACCCAAGCCAGTAAAGTTATAGATTCTTTTGCTTTCAGCGCTCCGGTATTTGGAAACTCGATGAAGCTGCTACTCTTCCCAGAGAACTGGTACGAGCCTTGTGGGTGTCCGTCTGGTCCAGGGGCGAGTCGAACTCCGCGCGCAAGGCCGTTGGGATTGCTCCGTCCGCTTACGTCCCAAGTTGTGTACTTTCCGTTAAGAGGATATAAGGCAATCGGGACTGGCATATTTACATGTGTTTCTGAGGGGCAAACATCATTTGTACGGTTAGTAGAGGGTCACAACACTTCACCAAATTATGTAGTCAGATTTTAAGGAAGGAGATAAGGGATATGACCAGAACATCTTCAGGTTTTAGGCTTTTAATTTCCTCAGCCAACGGCAAAAGGATTGGAGTAGCCGGTCTCTTAAATGAATTACAGATGAGAGGATCAAAATCCGGTCATCTCTATTTGTTCTTCCGATTTTTCTCAGTCAAAGGATCTATGAGCACATCTGTAGGATCACGAGCAAAAGCTCAATTTTAAGAGATTGACAAAAACTGAAAGATGAAATGGAGCCTGCGCATGAGTACACCAAGACGCGGTAAAACGCTTATCAAAATCTGAAAAATTACCTCGTGTTGCAGGCTCAACTGGGTCCACCTCGATCACTTCCAGCTGTGTTTTTGTTGTCGGTTTTACTGTGTTCTCTGTGACTGTTTCGTGAATCGTCTTCGGTTTTTCTGAAGGCAAGTTGTTCGTAATCAGTGACAACTGAGCGGTCCAATTCGTCAGAATCGCATTTAACATCGCTAATAAAAGGGATTAGAAAGCGAATAAAATCAGTGAGCACATTGTCAGCATAATTATAACCATGTACAATGTAAACCTCTGTCATTTGATAGATATATTTTGTTCCAGTCTCAATAGACCACTAGGGATAACGCGATGATTGACCGAGCGGCTGGGCAATACTGAGAGAATGACCCGAGGTCTTGACAGGATTGTCCGAGCACAGCGAGGTCCCAACAAAAAACACCAAAGCCAGCCAATATGAAGAGATTTATTACACGACTGAAAACGATTAGAATTCGAAGAAAAAAACCTTCACGGTCTGGAAAGAGGCAGTAAACGTCCAAAGTACAATTTTTAATTACTGAGAGCCGACTCAGCGTTTTTTTTCGTGGAAGTCAGTAAAAAAAGGATCAGTTCTTTTTAATTTTAAAAATCGTTAATTCTTACCTTCAGAAAGGTAAGAACAAAAAATGCGTGCATGTGTACTTCAGTAAACACTGGATCGGCAGTAACAATCAAGTTTTTCTAAGTCACTCGAGCGTTTTGAAATGACAAGGTCTGTCCACAGATCCTCTATTTTGACTTCAGCTCATCGAGATCGCAAGCAAAAGTATTAACCACAGGGAATTTGAAAAAGCTCAAAAGCAAGGGGGACGCCCCTTTCTGCGCGTGCTCAACGGCGGCTCGCGCCCGTCTGAAGGGACATAAAATGTCTGTGGATAGACTAGTGACCTCGTATCTTCTTTTCTCCTTCGGTGTCCCTTTTAAGAGGGTTTTTTTTTTTCTCTCTCTCTCGTTAAGTTTTTTGAACAACAAGACAGTTAATTTATCTCTTTTTTCCAAGTTGGTATCAGTTACAACTAAGTAGTTTTAAGCTTTTTCCTTCCTTTTTGCGTTTCGTTTAATTCTGGATACACCTATTTCCGCAGAGATTACCAATCGGAAACTCTTTATGATCATGTTATGTGAAACGAACCCGCTCTCCCTGCAACCCGCGTATAAATTGAAGGAAGTGCGGAGAACGGCCGGGGTCCGGCTTTGTCTTGCTCTCGAACCCTCAAACCGTCTAGGTTTCCCTTTCAAACACCATACAATGTTAATTTTGAACTGCAACCAATCGATACGTGGTTAAAATTGTTCCACACAAAACTCCCTGTCCAAAATCAAAGCTGGAGATTGTCGGGCGTCTCAAGAGAATTTTCACCCCGGACCGGCGCAGCGGGTCGTCATCGAATGAATTCGGAGGGATTAACCTTGTCCCCCACCCGGTGGGGTATTGCAGGGTTTGATTGCGCCTTGCGTGAGTGCTCGGTTTTCAACGCACGTTTATTTACGACACGCAATCAGCAGCGGTAACCGATAGCTCATTGAACTTCCACACCACTCACGCGATAAATGGCCACGCAACGCTGATAACAAGGTGGGTTTGTTCAATGACAGAGTTCGGCAAAAGTCGTTTCCGTTCGGTCAGACCCAGGATAAGGTAATTGCATCAATTTTATGTAGTCGAGAAATTAATTTTGCAGGCTTCGTTTTGTCGCGTGCGTCATTCGTGCGAGGAACATAAATTTAGTTTAGTTCGTATAAGTTATCTTTTCTCTACTTCTATTAGGTGACTTAAATTAAGTTGTGTCTTTGAGAATGGGAAGTATTTAATGATTATACTTCCTGACGAGAGGAAAGGAAAGTATGTTGCGAAAACAAGAATTCCAGAAGCTATGAAAAACAAGTAATGGCTCAGTGTAAAGTTTGCACAAGGCAAACACATTTGTATTATTTAAGGGAAACTTTTCTTTGGTTCTTTGCGTCGGAGACCGAAATAACTCTGTCCTGTTTGAGACAGGCTAAAATTTAAGTTGGTTTTATCATCACGACCCTTTGACAGTGTTAGCATTAAGTACGTCGAATTATCCAAAAGCGTGCCTCTTGAATAACAAGATTACTACCAAACTCCGTCCGATTAACACGGCCACTTGTACTGGCTGGCGTACGTGCCTTCTTAATCGCACGATAACAAACATTCTACCTAAGGTTTCTGTGATAAGGGTGGAATTAGATAAACAATTCCCCTGAAAGTGAAGATCAGTTTCACTTCCATGGCCCAGGGGCGAAAGAAACTTATTTTTAGGTGGCATTGATTTCTTGCACCATGCAGAGTCAATTATCGAATTGCAGCCATGTTGCGACCTCGTTTAACCACGATGCTCTCTAATTAATTTTCACCGTTTTGTGTCTGTTTTAAACTAACTTTAGTTGGAATTTGTTTAAAAAAATGTCATATTAAACCTCTGGGTGGCCTTTACTGGCCTTTGCTCCAACTAATATAAGCTTTTTTTTGCTTTTTCATGCCTTAGTGAAAATTCGCGAACAAGTTTAGGACCTTCCATAAATTCATGACAAATCTCTGCAACTAATTATTATTTTCGTCTAACAGATGAGAGATATCGCTTAAGATTACCGCGTGCAAATTGCAAAAATCTGTTATTAAAATTGACTTTATTCACAACAATTTGTTGTCTTAGTTTTTGAAATAAAGTCTATGAAGTCTTTTAGGAAGGATTTATATTTTACACTGAGAAAGCGTATTAAATTTTAATTCCTTTTTGAGATATATATTGATTCGGTACGTGCGTGCCAACGTTCAGTTGCTTTTGGAACAATCACAAGTCGTTTGTTTTCCATTGATTCTCGATGACATAAAATCAGTGTGAAAAAATGCTTTCCCTTTCGGAACTGCACGTAATTGTTTGAAATGTTTAGTATTTTAATTGAAAAAACGATCGTGGCCTTCTTCCAGCTCTCCGGCCCTTAGAAATGTTCGCAATCTCTAGCGATCACTCAATTCCCTAAACACGATTCAGTCTCCGTTTTAATTCGTAAGCCAGCAGAGTGCGGAAAACTAAAGTAGATTAAGGTATAACTTTGTACATTATTGACATTTGAAATGCAACAACAACTCTTGAAATTGTAACTTTACCTTGAATTGTTTTCTTCGTAGTAGCATCCTTAGCCCTCCACAGTTTCCTTATTGCAGGATTTATTTTTCTCTTAGTGACGTTGAACATTTTTTCCTCAATCAAATCGTCCATGGAGCTGCGCCATTGCTCCATAAACACCTTAAGCTGCCCTTGAGAGATGCATTCCGACTTCGCGCCTCTTTCTGCTGCGAACTTTACTCGAGCTTCGCCCGGACTGTTGCACATTTCTTTCAAATCGTCCTTTCCCCGCGTGGAAACGATGGGTCCCAAAAGTATCCCCGCTGCAAAAGCCGTGCAGATCAGAGCAAAAAGCGCAGCGTTACACAGCCACGTTTTGTAGGAGCCTTGAATTACACTCCTGTCCTTCGTCATGGTGCGAACCGGCTACAAGTACAATCGGAAAACACAAATGCGTGAATCTCTATCGAAAGTGTGTATATATAATGTACATAAAGCTGTCAGCGAGGCGGGTCGTCAGGGGTCGGTGAAATCAATATCTCCCATATTATTTACTTTCTATTCTTTGCGTGGTTTTTTGATGGGGGATTGATTATATGAGAGACTAAAACATCATTTTTATCTCTTTCCTGGTTCTTCAATTTCGATTGGCGTCAAGGTCAAAGGAAACAGGATGCCGACGAGTTGAGAAAGGCGTTTTTCTTGTTCAAATAGGTGTGCAGGAGGTTTGTTTTTGTGCGCGCATTTACAGATATTTCGGTCACATGGAAAGAGGAACTGTAGCTTGCCGAAAATTTCACACGTATTTAAGTTGTTTTAATCTATTTTGCGGAGAAAATAGGAAGCGAAGAAGATTGAGAAAGTCATGCAGCTAAATTTGACCGCCCAAACTCTGTAAAGGACACTGAATTCGAATGAATCTCTTTTACTCCCATAGACGAACGAGGCCATGGCAAAACTCCGAAATTTTACATGCGATTTCCTTGAAAGCGTGTCAAACTATCACTTAAACGAATGAATGCAACTAGATGTGAGAAGAACCATTTGCATGCTTCCCAGTGAATTAGCGTTAATTAAATGCCTGTGTTTTAGGAGGTCTCTTTCACTTTTGCGCAAATTTTCACCGTTGTCAACAAGGTCATATTGGGCACAAGATCGCTAAAAATAGTAAAATTAATGCATGCATGCATGCATCTTTACTCAGCCAGTGAACACAGCTGTATCTGATGGCATCTGACCGCTCTACGCGCCAGAGACTTGAACGCCCAAAGCAGTAGAGGGCGATGAAAAGCGGCTGTATTCGCATGATCGCAGAGACCTCCTTGCTTTAATTTCGTCCTGCTATTATTATATATGCGCGCGCCAATGCGTTTCCAAGGAGACAGGTCACGGATGAAATACCCCAAAGTTAAATTGTCGTGATGACTTTACAAATTCTCCCAACCAGATTATAGGAATTGTACGGGGAATGGTAAAGAGAATTTGAATGCTGACGTCTACGGCTTGAACGAACACGATAGAATTGGAACGTTTTTGCGCAACAAGACTTGGGGCTTTTATTTTGATCGGCTTTTCGCTATCAGGCAAAAACAAAAAAAAAACAGAAATTTATTACGACGGATTCCGCTCAAAATTCGAATAATAAGTGCAAAAATTATTTACTAAAAATCTACGGGCTCACAGCACGGTAACTTTTTGAATACAATTTAAAACATCTCACTGTAATTCATTTCTCTAGGTGGCCCCGCGATTAAATCCCTAAGCATTCTCGAGAAATTTAATGTCAAACCTCGTAAGAATTCTTAATGCGTGTGTTATAGTGTTTTCAACTAACGCGAAACGTCCGTTTTTATTGAAATATGGATAACTTCAAGTTCAATTTCTCTCGCGGGGTCAGCTTGAGAGCTAAAGTCTCGATAAGATCTTCTTACCTTTATTCAAAATATTACCATGCTATAAGGTTTTTTTTTGGTAACTTTATTTGTGCCATTATTGCTTGAATGTCCTGCGGAAATCATCTTAAACTGCTCCAGATTTTTCTCTCGGAAGTTTGTCATGGATTTGTCCTGAAGCTTCAGGGTATATTTTGAGATCACCAAGGGCAGAGGTTGTTCAGATTTGTGACGCCACACTGACTTTTGTCTAATCTTCTTTGCCGTGTAAATACACAATTCTAGATTGTAATCTTTTGATAGGATCCTGCACGAACAACGTTCCTATTTGACCGATCTAAACCTCCGTGTGAAGTTAGGTGGGGGGAGGTGGGGGGAGGGGCAGTTTCTGCAGAGAGTCTACTATGAAAGAGAGAGAGAAAAATAGCTTATTTTGGTCTGATTAAATTAGGGTGAGGTTTTTAAGAAGTGCATTGCAACCCCCACCCATTTTTGGAAGCACCCCCCCGTATCCAATTGTTAATTGATTTAATTAGAGAAATAACTCTTTCCTAAAAATTTTTGGATACTCCAATTTTTTTTACTACAACAACTCGACCGCATCAACAATTTTCCGACCCGCCGCGTGCATGTCACGTGTATCAAAACCGACTGCAACAGTCATGTTATTAGAACACGGGGAATGATGTGTGACATGTTTTCTCCCCACATGCCACCAACCTCTCTCTGGAACTCTCTAGAATCGCGTTAAACGAATCATATGACTGTCAGTTTAGGAGAAAAATAGTTTAGATCTTATTAAGGCTAGAAGTGGTAATCATGATCATCAACGCCAGCGTAAACATCGAGCACCGCATGAGAACAGCGGGAAGCTAAAACCTTGACATTCAGTTGTGTGTGCTCTGGGACTAAAACGTTCCTTTATGGTTACATCAACGTTTATTTAGTTTCACCCTCGGAGCGAAGATCGGGTGAGAGCATCACCTGATGAAACGTTCCAATCAGGAGATCAAATCAGTGCACCACAAGCTCTAAACCCATCCGGCTTAATTTACTGCTTTGCGACTCAATGTTTTTGCATGGCCGTTTTGTGATAAGAAATGTCAGTAATCTGCTGATGCCAACCGATCTATCATTTTCCGAAGCCGAAGGCTGAGGCAAATAATTTGATGTGACACTGCCAAATCACAATATTTTGCGATAACCGAGTTTGATAATTATTTTATCATTCGATCACCAAGTTTGTTTTCATATTTAAATCTCTCTCTGACAGCTCGGGGAAGCGATCCGCCATTTAAGGTCATTCCCCAGTATTGCATTGCGCATCCTTACTGCACATAATTTATGGCGTCATTAGCTCGCGTTCGTGCACGCGCACATTGAAATTAAAACATGGCGGATTTACCTTGATATTGAGTTCTGTCAGTTGAAAAATGGCTATAGCTCACTAACAAGCTCGGGCAACCCACATTTTTTTCCAGTCATTCTAATCAACTAACCATTAGCTTTGCGTGAGAAAAGACTGATCTGATTTCTATGTTTGAAAATTTAATAAATAAGAAAAATAGCAGCTGCACTGAAGTCTTTTATTTTGCAGTTTGATAGCCGTGGCAAGCAATTTGGTTCCAATATTTCAACGAAGATCCAGCTGTCCGCCAAAATCAAACTTTCAAGGTTTATTTGTGTCCGACACAAATCAGTATTGACTGTAGTTTGAGGCGTGTTTTCATGAGTCTGGGCTCACAAAGAGTTTACAATAACTTGGAATGCGTTCCTGTAATAGCATTAAATAACGCTAAAATTGGACATTTTCAATGCCTCACTGCTCCTTGACGAGCATGGGCACCCCTTTTTTATTTTATAATTTGAGTTTTCATATGATAAATACTCATTGGACAAAGTTTGAACAAAAACTATGTGCAGTTTTATTTCAGGGGAATGACCTTACAACACAAGATCGTGGTTAGAATTACGCATGAGCAAAACACACTTAGACGGTATTACGCATCAGCAGACCATTATTTGTAGGGAGGCGACTCCAATCTCGTTCCCAAAGTCTTCGTTCCCCTTAACCAGCGGTTGGAAAACGAGAGCTCTGGGAGCAGCCATTTCAGACATGCGACATAATGCAGACTGCGCAGTGAAACCGGATAGGCAGAATCACCAGAATTCGGTTATTTCAAAATGGTTGCGCCCAGAGCTCTCGTTTTCCGACCGCTGGTCAAGGGGAACGAAGACTCTGGGAACGAGATTGAGGCGACTCCGACTTCGACTTGAACCAGAACTTCTCGATCAGTAGTTTTGATCGGTAGTCTTCTAAAACTCATTCATCAAGTTTAAACAATGGAAATCATGACCGTGACTGCGTTTGGATATCTGATCTTAGTAGCAACATTTCCGAGTTACCTTAAGTCTCTGTTTCAAAATGAATCTTCGTGGAAAACCTTTCATATGAAAATGAGTTTGATTGACCGGTGAAAATGGACATGAAGGCGGAATCATTTTCATATAATAGTTTGGCACGAAGACTCGTTTTGACACAAAGGCAAAAGGCAACTCGCAATTTTATGGTTTTGTTTCTCCGTTTTCTTCTTAGTTTTGGTTTCGATTGGGAAGATATATCAAACACTCAAGACTGTGTTTGACCACATTTCCAAACACCTCGCAATTCGTCAAAAATACTCCGCTACGCTTCGTATTTTCAACTCTCTTCTCGGTGTTTGGAATGTAGTAACGGTCTTTCGTGTTTGATATTTTACTTCCCGCATAGAATAGTCTTCAATTGTGCTCTCAGCTCACCTGATATTTGGTTTCTTGAGTGATTCCAGTTAAGGGCCCATTAACCGATCTTTTCAAGCCGTTGCTAAGGAAAATTTATTCTCATATACCCTCATCATTTTTAGTTAGTTCAGAGTTATTTCATGTGTTTTTATCACCAAATGCAGTCACTTGGTACAAAAACCTCAAAGGCCCTGAATAATTGTTACTGCAAATAACAAACTCTCTTTGACGTAAAAAATTACTCGAACATACGTACGAACTGTAATTGGATTTTGATATATCCCTGCCAAGAATCCCACTATTTCAAAATCCCCGGACGTTCCTTAAATGACTGTATTTCTTTTTTAAATCCTCTTGAACTAACTTCGTTAAGCGGGTTCTGTTGTTTAATAAACGGTCCATTCAGTAAAACAGACCTCTTCCTATCAATATCCAAATAATACAGACACCTCTAATTTTTGCAGGTACAGCTCGTTTTAACCCAGAAAGACTAGATTTTTTATAATTTCCACATCCTTAATGCGTATTCCTTAACGAGGTTGACTAAAAGCACCGCGCGCTTGGGTGTAAGTAGGTAAATAAAAGTTTCATTAATGTGTCAATGTATTTGTGTTATGTCAATGTATTATGGGTGCACAGTTCAAATGCTTTCACTTGAAATGTGCACTCAGGATTTAGCAAAGGTAAGAACAACCAATGTAGTAAAAAAAAAAAAAAAGCAGTTCCACGTGAAAGTACCGCTCAAAAGCTTTCATTTGAATGGTCACACGTTAGGGTTTTATCCACGGCCTTAAACGTTAGAACCACCTTGTACAGCATAATAAACGGCAACAAATGAAAGTGCTGCTAAATAACTTTCGTCTGAATAGTCACACACTAAGAGGTTTATCCACGGCCTTAAAGGTTAGAACCACCTTGTACAGCATAAGAAACACCACATGAAAGTACTGCTCAATAGCTTTCATTTGAATGGTCACACTCTAGAGTTTTATCCGCAGCCTTAACGGTTAGAACCACCTTGTACAGCATATGAAACACCACATGAAAGTACTGCTAAATAGCTTTCATTTGAATAGTCACACACTAGAGGGTTATCAACGGCCTTAGAGGTTACAACCACCTTGTGCAGCATAATAAACAGCACCACATGAAAATACTGCTCAATAGTTTTGATTTGAATGGCCACACACTACAGTTTTATCCATGGCCTTGCAAGTTAGAACCGCCTTGTACAATACAATAAACAGTACCACATGAGTCAATCTTTGACTTTAAGGATGAAAACGTTATGATGGTTTGTCTGTTTCGATTAGATGTTTAACAAAAACTTCGCCAGCAGACTCGTTCGGTAGCCGTCTTTTCTACCGTACAGATCGAACAGATAATTACTTTTTCGTTTATTTTATTTCTTTTTTCTAGTCATATGACTTGACAACCTCTCGCCAACAAACAAGGCGTACACCCACCTCAACTTCAGATTCATTTAAATGCGGATTAAAAATAATCTGAAAATCGTCATTTTTAATCGTGATAATTCCTAGTGACTTGCCAATTGCCAGCCATAAGGTTGCAAAAAAAAGAATCTAAATATTAAGCGGTGGATCATTAGAAAACTGGACGGAGAACGACGACGATTCAAAAAAGAAAATAAATAAATAAACCGGCCTATACAGAAGTATGTTCCTCCATGCACCGTGTGATGTACTTAAGGAAATACTCCAGCAAGGCACACGAGAAAACAATGTCCGTGTCCTTTCCAAGTCTGCACATTTCTAATGTTACGTTGTGCACAGGGTCGACAAGAGACTAGTCAGAGTTGTGTAATTGCTGATTCAATTTTCTAATGTTCTGGCTGTATTCTGTCAGCTGGATTAATGCTATATCAGATAATCCCCAATGCTTTTTCAGATTTAAATACCTTTCTCTACCAAATAAAATTTGTCAGATTTGTTTGTGGTAGTCGATGTCAAACATACTTAAAAAAACAAACAAAACAACAACAACAAAAAAAACAATTGTCTCGCTACCCTGTAAATAATTAGCAGCTAGGATAGTGGTGAAGGCGACTATTACTGAGGACAAGCAGACTATTGCGTAATTCCTCACTGTTGGTTGTTTTCCAGTTGTTTTCCGATACGATTTACCACAAATAACACTCGCCAAAAGGTTTGTGTGTTTACCAAAATTTTACATTGCAAAACCAGTCTGTATTTCTTTTATAACAACTTAAACATTTTTCAGGTATCAGTTTCTCTTCATTTACATAGAAAAATATTTCTATTTTGTCCAAAAACACGACAGTAGAGTCGCGAAATACATTGCCTTTACAGCCATTCTGACATTTTTGATAAGTTACTGGAGAAAATAAAAATAATTTAAATACTCTTTTCAATTCATTAATATCTGTTATTGCTGTCCAGCCAGCTTCTTCTTCCGCACACATTCCACAAGAAATTTGTACCGCAATATACACTCCTCCTGCAAGCGAACGAAAAAGTATATTGGTCAAGATGAAGCTTTATGAATTACGTGCTCAGTAAGCGTGCGCAGAAACAGTTAACGAAAAACGTCCTTGATTAAGTCCTACATCAGATCTCACAGAGAGTGGCGCGTTTATGCGAAAGAAAGGAGGCTACCGACAATCTGCGACAATGGAATGAATACCTCTCTAAACAACACAGTCAACCAACGAAAACTGGACGCAAATTTACTTAACCGGTTCCAAGCGCGGAAAAACGCACGTGACCAAGTCGTGACTGGCATGGGCTTTGCACCTGATTGGTTAAGCAGATGGCGCGCATTTTAAAACCGGTAGTATAGCAAAATCTGTACCAAAGCAGTTTTGGATTTTAGACCAATGAAAACCGCTCTGGTATTAATTACCACCGAACCAGGTCCGTACTACCTTTGTTTTCCCAGGCACCGCCTGTGCTATGCAAGTCCACCGATCTGTCACTGTCTTCGGAAACTGTTGAAGAGCAAGCTCCAGCTGTTTCTGTTGATTCTGACTCCAAACAGAGCTGTCGTTACCAATCACGTTTTCATTGGTAACGCCATCCATCTGTTCCGACGTCTTGTTACTTCCGTCACGCACCACTGATGCTGTGTTAACGGGCCGATCCGCTGCCTTCTTTGCCGCTGTCTGTTTGCTCTTCGTTGATCTGTTGTGATTTTGAATTGTATTAGTCCCAAAGTTGTAGCATTCATCCGCTTGCGAAAGGCATTCATCGCTCACAATCGCCTTCTTCTTGTTCATCACTAACGACCCCAGGTCTCCTGTACCTTAAAACCAAGAGAAAACAGAACGTTTCAGTAAGACAAACTTTCCCGCCCAAAAGACTACGAGTTGAAGTGAAAGGGTCTGTAAACTAACTGACGTAGTGTGGAACAGTATTTAAACTTTTTTTTCTACCTGTGTTCGCTGAGTGAATATTTGCTCCATAGGACTGCTTCAGCTTCTTCATTTGTTTTGTAACCTGCAATAGTAGTGAAGACCTCAGAAAACCAAGGAACCAAACCAGCTGAAACACTTGGTTACTTTTACATGACGTAAAGTACATAGAGTCAGCCCTACGATTTGGTGCCATGGACCAGGTCTTTTTTTTACCCGATATAAAAGAGACACTAAGTGTCCAATCCGGTCACAGTCATTGATGTCATGTCGTCGTTATAACAATGCCAAAAGCAAAACATTAGATCTCCTTAACAAACATTCATTGAACGAGATTGCCGTGGAAACATTTGCCTGCAGCTGATGTTCCTATAGCCTTTTCGAATTATCCCATAGTAACAATAAACAGGGAGAGTTTGATATGGTAGTTTAGGCTGTGATATGAAACACAGCGAGGCTCATATCGGTTGATCTAATATTTTTCAGTTAATCAAAGTCCGATTCAGTGGGTATGATGATGTGCGTCCAGTATGAGAAGTCTGATATAGCAGCCGTTAATGTTGATATTGAACGGCTTAAAACAAAGCACAAACACTTTGACAGATGACTAACCTCCTCTACTGATCGTCCAATCTCCACAGCAATTTTCTCCCAGCGGTTCGGGGTCCCCCCGGGAAATTTTATCATAGCACGGGTCAGCAGAGACTGTTCGTGATCTGTCCACTCGCCCGTCTGAGGAAAAAAAAAAAACAAAGAAAAACTTACACTCCCCATATTATAAGAAAACAGAAACTACATCTGCAACTGTCATGGCTGCCACGGACATCACTTTTCGAAATTCCCTAGCCTGCGTAGCAAGCGTTTCCGTGGGGTTTGGAAGCAAAGAAAGACCGAGGAACGGGATTTTCGGTGTTTTGTCTGCGCGGAAAATGGGGCGAGAGCCAAAAAACTCGCTCCATTTTTCGCGCTTGAAGGAAATCCGAAAATAGTAGTTTACTAAGATAGTAAAACACCACAGAGATAATAATAAACGATAACGGACCAAGGTTGGTTAAGGATGGAGAAGATTAACACAGATTACAAAGGACGAACTTGAAAAATTTAGGCTGAACTTTTCAAGATGTACAAACCGCGACGTAGCTGCTTTAAAGTGCGATCCATACCTTCTCTACTGCAGTGGTTTCCTGCACGCTCTCTGTTGCTATGTTCATCGCATTTGTGACGGGTGCCCCTTCCCAGCTGGCGTCATCTGTGTCTTCTTGAAGAATGTTCACTCTTTGTCGTCTCCTTGGTCTGGATGGTTGCTCTGAGGGATTTTAAATATTCGCAAAATAAACCTAGGCTCATAAGTTAATTAAATACAAAGTTGGTGTAGTCGTAATTGCCCGCTGCTGTCTTGCGATCTTTAAGAAATCACAGTTAATAGACTATGTATGTATAAAAGACAACTGGGAAATACCGTAAACCGTCGCTTATAAGCCCTGGGTTAATACAACTTTGGATGGGCTCATAAACGGAGGGGTTTATATCCGGGGGAGTTTATAAGCCTAATCTAATCTGTACGTAAAATTCACTTATTCTTAGTCCAATTTTCAGCTTTGTAATTTTTAACTTAGTGAGGGCCACAGTGTGAACTTCTGGGTCACCAGTAATTGTGTTTTTACTGAATGAAGTTTTATTATGATTTTATCAGTTTTGCAATGAGTCTGCCCTCGCAATATTCACCTTGACGTCTTTGTTTCGAAATGAAATTCAGTGCAAAGCATTTCACAAGGTCATTCGCAGAGTGTGTCCTTTGGCTACTTTGTTAAAGGCTTTGGTGATCACCTTTAAATAAGAGGACAGACGCGAACACAACATCCTTCAGTGTAAACCAGAGAGAGAGGGCCTTCATAGTGAGTACACGAGCAAATATACATCTTCCTATCCTCTCACTGTAGAAAATGTCGCTTCATACGTCGCACTCAATTCTGAAATAATACTGTTGGGTGTGTTGGTCAGCAGAAAATTTTTAAACGTAGAGTATTCAATATGGCGGACGAAGATACCGAGCGACGAAGGACTTTAATTTTGCGAAAAATTGTCCACCAATAGAACGAGGAGAAGGCTGACAATGCAGCAGTATGTGTTGCAAATATGTTCAGGTTGCATTGGGATTAGATTGGCAGATTGGCAATGGTTCTTCTTTTTCTTTAGCGGTACCAAATTTACGCATGCTCAATACATTGACATAATGTATGCATTAGATTCGACAGGGCAGAAATTCGACGTTTGAACCGGTGTCGTATTTCTGTGTCGGATAATGCGACCAGTCGAACGTGCGGCAGAAGTGCGGCAGCCGGTTCAGACGTCGAATTTCTATCGAATTTAATTCGTTGAATTGAACTCGACACGGCAGAAATGCGACGTATGAACCGGACCTAAGTCAACTACCATCGTAAACGTGATCAAGGCAAATTTTGTCTTTTACCTATGTGTCAAAACGAGTCCGCGTGAAACCATTCCAATCATATGAAGATGAGTCTTCCCCCCCCCAACAAGTTCATAAATATGTAAATCAAACTCATTTTCATAAGAAAGGTTTTGCACGAGAACACGAAACAGAGGCACAAGGTAACTCGGAAATGGTCTAATTACCGCTGTGACAAATCTGAAAACCTGACGCCTCGAACTTTAGCCTGTCGCAGATTTAATACAATAACCACAGGTACCTACCTTCTTCTTCTTTTTCGTCATCATCACCATCTTCTTCGTCTTCCTCGATCTTTTCTTTCCGTCTGTCTCTCCAGTATTCCAAGAGAGCTTGATATCGTTCAGGCAGTGATTTAAAGAATCCAATGAGCACGTGAGTCATTTTAAATGGCAGCAGGTCCATGAATGTGGGTTTGGACACCCCCACCTCTTGAACTGAAAGGGGACAAACACACAAGAGGTTAAACGTCAGCGGTAAAACGGGACACAAATGTAACCGTTAAGCGTCAAAATTGGACAATTTTAACCGTTAGCCGTAAAAAATATTAACCGTACAACAATTTTAGCCACGAAAGTGAAAGTCTCAAGATCTCAAAGCAAGACTTTTTTTGTGTCTTGTCTTGTGGCTTGAAAGCTATTTTAGTCTACAATTTTTATAATAATACCTTTTTCCATCCCGGAATGATCCTAAGGCCTTAAATATGTTTTACAGAAGTCAAAATAAATTTTTCACTTTATTAAACGATGACAGATGATTTTTAACTTTTGAAAACAATGGCGATTAATTTCTAATTTCTGTTAACCGTACGGAAAATAACTTTATAAAACGGTTAGCTGCAAAAGCCACAACCCCACTGAAACCCTCTCATTAGTGGAGGAGAAGACATCAATGTCATGATATTATACGATATCAATTAGGGACAGTATGAAGACAACTCTTTTTTTTTCAAATTAATTTTACTTTACAATCATCGTTGCTTAATAATGCTGCCTGGTAGAAGCAGAGGGTCTGGGACTGATATTCCAGTAGCACGTGATAATCACGCACACTACACTGTAGTTGGTGCACTCTTATAGTGGATTGGTTTTCAGTTGTGTGACGCATAACCAAAGTAAGCACTCTAGCCAATCAAAAGTTTCACACTGGCAATCAAAAGAACCAATCAAAACTCGAAGCAAATACTTGTAGTTGACAAAAAGCGTGGGAAAACGAGTCTTAGTGAGTGAACCACGATTGGTTTTGGTTTTACATCTGATTGAATAACAAGGTAGCGCGAGCTTTTTAAGGCCAATCATATAGTGTGGCAATGCAAACCCACTAGCTTAATGCTTCAGCTACATGCATTTGCTTCGAGTTTTAACTATTTCAGTGAATTGTCTGCGCCCTTTACGATTTAGTAGGAGTGACAACTATGGTTTTGGTTTTACCATATTCAATTGAAGGCCACTCTGTCAGTGTTGCAATACATGTAGCATTTCCTTGTAACAATAAATTGTCAGAATAAACAGGAAAACGTTTCTCACCCATTAAATCTGCTAGATCAGGAATGTCTTCATCAGTCAGTTTGGATTTCATTTTCTTGTTTCTCTTCTTGTCTTCTCGTTTCCTCTTGGAAAATAAGAGTTCTTCCTAGGGAGTTGAAAAGTCAAAAAACGAATTACCAACATTGTTAGCCTTGCTTGAGAGTATCTAGAGTCAGTAAAGCTTATTATTAGCCAGGAAATTGAGTTGTGCGGGCTAACAAAGGACACAGTTTTTTTATGTAGGTACACAAGCCGACAGGCAAGTGTTTCCACAACTTCCTCGAGTTCTGTTTTCTTTTTTTGAGTTCTATGATCTGTTAAGCTATTTTCTAAAATTGTTTAGTAGAATTCTACTAGTATACTAATGCAAATGCTTCAATCTGATTGGCTGAGCCATTGCACACTATCATCCATTATAGTTCACCACTAAATTTTCCCTGATTCTTATTGGTTTGAATTGATCACATGATGCAATAGTGTTCATGCACGGAGAGACACTATCAGCCCATAGTGCCCATCTGAGGAAAATACCTGGATGGATAGTACTCATCCGTGAAAAATTTTCTGTAAACAAGCAAACATATAAAAAAATAAACAATTGAAATTGTATTAAGTGGGTTTTGTTTATTTTCCTTTTTAAATTTTACATTTGGCTCTCACAGCTTTCATCTAAAAAAGTTGAAAATAATTCAATATGATTTTTGAACTGGTGCGCAGAAGAAAATTTAGTGGTGAACAACAAAGACAATAGAGTGTTTATGTCTCAGAACTATCGGTCTGATAGTTGCCCCTTGGAAATTTGATGTTCGTAAAACTAGCATATTTGCCCTTGAAGCTTCGCTTGTCAGGCAAATATTTGTTTTAAGAACATCAAATTTCCGCGGGGCAACTATCAGCCGATAGTTCCTCGACCGGAACACTCTATTGTTTAATTAGTGTGCAGTGGCTTGGTGTGATCGACAAAATTGCAATGTTTCCTTGTTAGTCCGAAGTTTTGAAATAACATTTACTAATAGAAACAAATGGACAATCAAATTCCTGAGAAGACTAAAAGGATGGCATTACACTTTCTTTAATTAAAAAAGCTTGAAATTTTTGAAAGAAACTGATATCTATGCATACTCAGCTGCAAATGTCAAATTGACAATTCAGTCTACGTGAATTCTCTTAAGTGTGAAGTTTAATACTGAGACCAGAAATAACTGAAATTGATATTTGAAGGAAATTTCAGTTAGATTTCTATTACAACAATTAGATTATTCCTTCGGCCTCATCAACTATCACCTCATAGAAATCTTGAGCTCATAATCTAATTATTGTTCAATAGGAACTGATATTAACACACAAGATTTGGAGGGCTTATTTTGGGGATTTTATTCAGGGAGAGGGGCTTATTATTCAAATTCTTCAATTGGTATTCACTATTATCTTTATAATGCTAACATTATTATTAATATTTAATTTCCTAGGAATGATCAGCAACATACCAGTTCAAATTTTTTCTCCAGGTATATTGACCAGGCCACGATGTAGTGTCCTACTGTTAATATGAGGAAAATAAGGAGTGCAAATTCTATAAGTCCCATCTTACGGACTCTCCTGTAGTAAAATACTGGTTGTCGCCAGTCCGGCAATCCATCCTGCAAAATGCCATCATATCTGAAAAAAAATAATTAAAGTAATATTACAAAACTGCATTCTAATAATTAAATACAATTTCCCACTTTAAGACTATCACTGGCCATAACCCGTAACACCTGTTATGGCTGAGTACGGTTAATTTTCCCTTGATGCTATGGGTGAAATTGCTTTTTGTTGGTAGAATTCACTCACAAAGTAAGAAGTTTACTATGGGTGTGGAGACCAAGGCTACAGGGTGACTCAAAACTTAAAGACAGCCCTGCACTTCCATTAAGATTACACAAAAGCTGTTGCATATTCACCAGTATTCATACATGTATGATACAGGCTGTATTTAACAAATAGTTTTGTGGCTCTTGTCATCAGATGATATCTGGACCACAGACAAGGTACACAAATAATTTGTGTACCTTGTCTGCTCAGTTATTGAGCTTCACCTTTAGTTGGTGAGGTGAAACAAAATTAATCAACGGATATAGTGCTGTAGTGCCAGCAACTGTGTCTTTAGTAAATGTGGGAAATTAAAAAAAAGGGAGAATGTTTACTCTTTCAGGAGATAGTTTCTTAATTCTACACTCAGACATTTGACTGATATCACTCAATCACAGTGTGGCAAAGGTAAAGTTCTACACATACATAAAAAGCTTGTAACTAACGGAAGTTATTTTAGTAGTCTGTCCACAGACATTTATTTTTTTGCTACAAGTTACTTTTCTTTGAGCACACAAGAGATGCGAGCATGGAGTGAGAGAGTGGCTATGGAGCAAATCACCTCTGCCCTCGCTCCCTAAATTAAATCGAGCAACATCTGAAGGGATCAATGAAAATACAAAATAACAACTGTACATGTATGGTGTCACCCATGTATTGGAGTATGTAGAGTCAAAATTATTTTAAAGTTCTTGGAAAAAAGGCAAACAAGAGGGGAAATCGGAACCATTTGACTTCTGTAGCCTATGAAGCTGTTATTTTCTGTCTATGATGTTTTTGGGAAAGCACCTTATATTTATTTGCAAGATAGAAGCCACAAACTTGTCATGAAAGATACAAAACACAACAGACCTCCCTGCGATCTTACATTTTATATATACTGCTTGTGGTAAACAAGTAGAGTTTGGAAAACATTCCATGACTAAATAACAAGACTATGTATGGGTATTTCTGCTTGAAATCAAAAGATCTCAATGAAGAGGCGAGCTTGTTTCCATATGAGAAGATCAGCTGTGTGACATTATGGTCCCATTAAGTGAATTTGGCAGCAAGCGACTCTAAATGAAGTGACAAAAACTGCTTCAAATCGTACAATGCACAGGTGATGGATCCTTGACATGCTAATGCCCAGCTTAATATTTTGCTATGTTTGTGATCATGAGGAACTCAAGACAAAGTAGAGGATCTGTGGACAGTCTATAACTAAATTAAAATAGTTATGCAAAGTTTGAACCAGGTTTTCATCTATCTCCTTCAAAATTTGAGGCTGATTGTAAAGACCAGCATACAATATCTAAATGCCTTGTTTTGTACCTTTTCCTCTTGTCTTCATCCTTCAGAACTTCTGACACTGCAACAAGCTGTGAAAATAACAATTTCAATAATTCAATGAACATAGTTGTGTATTAAAAATAAAAGTAATATACAGAATTGTGAAGATTATTGTTTAAAATTCTTTTCTGGGAAAAGAAAGAAAGAAAGCTAAGGAAAGAAAGCAAACAAACACGCCCTAGTAACAAAAAAAATCACAACACGCTTATGACAATACAGTAACCTTTCTCGGACAAAAGGTNGGGGGAGGGGGAGAAATGGGAAAAAAAACTATTTTAAGTGAAAGTCACAGTCAAAGTAAGTACTTTTCATAGCAGGATTAAGGATTAAGGTCAAGTCAAGTGGTCCATGCTGGAGCTCATCCTGGTTTCCATAGCATTTAGCAACTAGGAATATTTTTTCTCCCTCTTGGATGGGATGCTAAGCCATTACAGGGTTACCTCCAGCATGAAATTCGCAGGTACCCATTTTTATGCCTGGATGGAGAGACAGTGAGCGTAAGGCATCTTGTCCAAGAACGCAATGCAGTGATCCTGACCAAAAATCAAACACAGACTGATTGATCCAGTGTCCAGCGCACTAACCATTAGGCCAAGTTGTCTTCCAAGGGAGGAAGAGGAGGTTGTAAATTACATGTAGCCATGTGATGCTTCATTTTTAATCATAAAAATTTTGACATGATCAGTGATTAATTCATTGCAATTTTACATTCACCTGTCTGAACTTTTCTTCGGCATCTGGTGCTTTGTTCTTATCAGGGTGAAGTTGAAGGGAAAGTTTACGATACGCTCTTCTGATATCTGCCTGGCTTGCATCCTGAAGCAGAATAGCAACATTCAAATTGATCAGTTTTTATTAAGCTCATATTTTTAAGGGGAGAGTGTACCTGTGTGTGTATTGGGCATGGTAAAGAACTGTTATTTGGTGTCTCCAATTATGATGTCAGTTTGCTCCCTTTTATTACTCATTTTCCTTCGAAATATAATACAGTCGAACCCCTATTAAGTGGCCACCTATTAAATGACCACCCCTATTAGGCGCCCAGTAATCAAAATCGCGATGAGGGCTATTCTGTTGTTTTTACCTTTACAGCTTTATTGAGCAGCCAGCCCCCTTTAAGTGGCCACTATCCATTTTCCTGAGGGTGGTCGCTTAATAGGGGTTGAACTGTATATTTTTTCTAAGGGTGCATTTCTTTAAGAAAATCCAAGATTGGATTCTTAAATCTGAAAGAATCCGAAAATGGATTTTGAGTTTCTTTACTGAACAGATCAATCCAAGACATCTTGGATCATGGTGCGTAGAAGAATCCACTCCTATAGTGGATTCTTCGGTTCCTTTGACGCACCATGATCCAAGAGATTTTGGATTGATCTGTTCAGTAAAGAAACGCAAAATCCGTTTTCAGATTCTTTCGGATGTAAGAATCCAATCTTGGATTTTCTTAACGAAACGCACCCTAAGTTTTCTAATTTAGAATACATGCCCTGTTCTTAATCCCTGTGTAATTTGTGACTGAATCACTACTGTTGGATTCCAGGGCTGGTAGCAGGTTTATTCTTAGCCCTACAATCTGTTTATAGAACTATTAGAAATAAAGATACTCATTATGATGATTCCCGCGGAACTATTAAACCGCAAGAAAACACTTAAAATGTTGTCATAGTGGGGAAAAAATAAATATATAATAAATAATAAATAAAATAAAAAAATAAAAAAATATATACAGGAGGAGGGAATTCAATGGAACGCGATCCTAAAACCACATTGTGACATCGGAAAGTATGCCAGTACTAACCCAATATCTAAAATCCTTTTCAGACAAAATTTCCTAAACATTTACTTCAACAATTTGATTTCTCTGGTTTTCTGTAGATCTAAATTTTGCCTTTAATTCAAGACAGCTGGAAGTAAAAATGATATGAACTCAAGCTCAATCGATCATTCTTCGATAAAAGACATTCATTGTTCAGATTTCTCTGGCACGAAAGAAGTCTTTGATATCGATTGATCTTACCTGTTTCAACCCAAGAACATCATAAAAATTATCCTTGATTTCTTCTACAAGGTCAAACAGCTCTAGATCAATAGAATCCCAACCGTGAACTTCTGTACACCTTGGCAAAATAAACAACAAGAGAAAAACTCCGTGTCCTGTCGAAGGAGCCGCCATCTTGGAAAATTTCTGGCATGTTAGCGCCCAGACTCCCAAGACTAATCTTCACAGGAACCTGGGAAACAGTTTTCCACTCTTTCTCTCTTTGGTTTTTTTCCCTCTTTCTTGTTTGGCGAAATTGAATTCTTATCTGAAGGGAAATTTTGTATAGACTTGGTTGGTCGCGTACCCGTTTACCAGATTTCAGTCGAAGCAGCTAGAAACCACTTCCGATGCCTAAAGTGTACAGAGCAAAATAGACGCGGCTTTTAACTTAGATAGTAATAAAAGCACTGGGGCGTTCATTTTCTATGCAGGTATTTCAGATCGGCAGTGTTAGAAAAAATTATCTCTCGAAAAATTTCGTCTGATTTTTGCAAGGAGGATTCAACAAGAATTTTTTGATTCTATTTTCACTGTGTGAACATACATGTAATTTCAAACGAAAATTGCCAGAAAATTATAAAAAAACAGTATAGCACATTGTTTGAAAATTGTTACCTAGCTTTCGGGTGGTATTCCGCGCTTGGAATTCGTTAGAGCTTTGAGATTTCCAGATAAAGAAAATCAGATTAACCTACAGCGTTATTTGCGTCAGAGGGAAGCTAAGGGGGTGCTCTGTTTTAAACCTCAGAGTCAAAAGTAATTTACATTCTATGGTTTTGTATAAAGTGTATGACAGTATGCAGAATTGTTATGCAGTTCGCAGTTTATCAAGACGAGCGCTGGTAGTCAAGCGATGAGTATTGAGGTTGAGAAATGACGAACGAAGGAAATTTCATGGATAACTTTGCGCCGATTAGTTAAAGCCAGGCACTGATCACGTGATCACAAGAAGTTGCGTAGAGGGCGAGACGAGAGAAGGCTGGTTGACGAGGGCAAATTTACGCACCTCCACCACATAAATTGTTTTGGTCAATTAACAAGTGGTAGAAGTGAAATAACACGTTTTGGATATTTCACCAAAGTTTGCGAGCTTCACGCGGGTTGAGATTTAGTTTCAATTCTCAAAGCAGAGGTGCGGTGGTCAGAGATTCCAACCATCTTGAATTCTGCAATGTCTCTTGATGAAACCACTCTCTCTTGTTTTAATGGCTGTTTAATAACTTAGACTGTTTCAGGACTTGGTGCCCGAGCATTGCCTTCAGACGCTGGACGGCTTAAGTGCCCAAGTACCGGATTTAGTGCTCGAGTACAAGGTCGAGACCTTGTGCCCAGCAAGAACACTGCCCGAATTCTGGTGTGAATACTTGGAACAAAGGTGTGTTCAGATTAATGCCCAAAGAGGATAGTACTATGGCAGCGTGCTTGGGCGCCAAGTATGAACATAGTCCCACATGTACAGTAGCCCCGTTAGTCGTCAGACACTATTCGTGTTATTGTCCTATGGTAAAGTAATTTAATTGATTTCTTACTCCCGCTTTATAGAACCACAAATGTCTTTACAGTTTTGTACGTAACTTTAAAACTGAGAAATATCATTTGGCGCAGTAGTAGATACCACACCTTAATGTAACAGCAATTTGGGTTAACCAACCCTCGGAAAGCTGAGGGTAATGAAAGAGGGACCACTCGACCATAATTAACTTTGTTGCCGAATTAATGCCGAGTGGAATTTGGTACTGAAAGGAAAACTGAATCATGAATCCATTTTTAAATGTGATCAATTCAAAGTGGAGTATAAATAATTGTTGGATACATCACTCACTCCCGAGTAGACTTGTACGATACTATTGGAAATTTTTAGTTCCTAATTTTTAGATTACATAGTCAGTAGAACTTTTCTTTTAGCGGACCCTTTCGTAAATCGCTTTTTGCTAAGTTAGCGTCCCTAGTAGTAAAGCTTAATGTTATCTTGAACAACCTTTTTGTTGTCCATGCGTCAGTATTACAGATAGCGAAAATTCTATAAAGCGTCGCGCACAAGGCACACATTTAAGGAATCAACGTGATCATATTGTGTTGATGCGCGGGAACGCCCGTAACAGTCGGCGAACGCCACGCGGAGGAATTTGAAAATAGAGGTCTCACTCTGAAAACGTATCAATGTTTTCCGTCCACAATACGCTCCACTATTTAAGACGATTAAAGGAAAACAGGTGAAGCATGCACACAGGCCAGCAAACACTTAAAAGTGTCTACCTTGCGCGAGGATTGAAATTTCAAAACTTCCAGGCTCAGAGAACTATGGTCTTGAGCCTCTCTATAAATACTATCAAGAGTACATGCTAACGCCATCCGTTAAGATTACCAGTTAACCAAAACTCTTCGCTTCTCAGGATCAAGGGATCCAAGTAACTGCTTTATTAATGGCACAATTACAACTTGGTTGTGACAACCGAAACAAAACACGCAAGAACAAAAATTTTGGAATTTTGTTTGCCTGAAAAAGATCATGATTACCCCCAGAGTAAGATTTCTTAAGCTTGTTTTCAAGGTCTTTTAATTCATTACCTGAAATCAGTTGACGGGAATTTTGCGACGCGATTTACACATTTACAGTTAACACAATTTTTTTTCCTTTTAGTATGAAGGCACGGGTCGAAAGAGAAATTAAAAATTCTGGAAAAGAAGGAGGTCAGCTAAGAAAACATCATGCCACGCAATTTCAAGGTCTTCAATGAACTCTTTTGTTGCATTTTTATCATCTCAAAGCCAAGTGCAACGATTTGTGATGGTAACTTGATACGAAACAGCTGAACGGACCCAGAACAATTACGGGGACGACTGGTCGTTATTGCTTCAAGGGGAAGTGTTGTGTTCCTCTGCTTAGCTAAAGAAAGTAGGAACGAAGCGAAATACAGATCTCTTGAGTGACCACGTGAAAAAAATCGATTTTAGCTGATCTTTATTTTGATTTTAAACTTTTCTCTTCCTGAGATTACGAATCTTTACATGAGAAGTCCCTAATGTTCTTGAATACTTTCCGGTTTTCCAAGAATTAGATTTGCGATTTCGGCAAATGGACGGATAATAACAGTAAAAAAAAACCCGACGAGGTTGATAATTTGGTCCAAGACTTCAAAAAGTGCAAAACGATAGAAATATAAATAATCAACTATATCTAGTAACGTGCCTTAATTAAGAAAAACACACACAGCTTTATTTAATGTGCTTGGTAAAACTTGACACATTACAAATGAGCTATAATGATTGGTAGAAACTTCAAAGCCAATTAAATGAAGCAAGTCTCTAAGCGGCGAAAACCAACACATCTCAAAATTCGAAATCGTTATTTTTTAAAGTTTCTTCGGTTGGTTTTCTGGTATACCGGCAGTGCATGTGTAGTTTTGTTCAACAGCAGTGAAACACTGATAAAATAATTATGCAGTTTGCACAGGTGAATTTTGATATTTTGATTTGTCGACCGAGTCAACAAAGTCTTGTTTTGATTGCAATGTTTTATTTAAAATCTCCGAAGGCTGAAATATCGTTCCTAAATGTACATATGTTGTTTTTCTTTAGTTTTCCATACGCAGGCGATCGCTTGGGGACAAAAATCAATTAAAAAGCAATTTATCTTGATGAATAGGCTAATGTCGCTTATCCCTGAAAATCCGGCCGCGAGAAAGTTTTTGAGATTTACAAAGTTTGAATTTTAATTTCTCTTTGAAGGCGCAACCCGATGGCGTCATGACTGACTGGAAAGTATTTGCTACAAGAAATAAATCCCCTTTAGCCGGGTTGTCCAAACTGCGGTTACCAAAAAGTTTTAAGAGAAATAATCAGTTATAGAGGAGAGAAATTCGCTTTTGACGGATGTTCCAAGTCAAACCGAAGCTTAAAGATCTGGACAGATGGAACCCATGGGTTGTTTGTTTAAAAGGATTTTAATGATTTTCCATAATAATTTCTAACAGTCCGTGAGAAAAAGACACTATGTTCGCTCTAAGTTTGTCCCTGAAAATTCTCACGGCCTGCCTGATTCAAGGCGTAGATAAAAAGCGCATGAAATCAACAGAGTCTCATTTGCGATCAAATGTTCGTTGGACGCGCTCACTAGCAGTTTGACGTGTTCTTGTCAGCCACTTTATACTTTGTGCCTCCAAGGTTTGTATACGTTTTCAACGCCTGTTTTATTATTATTGTTTCTTTCCTTCGATCCTTCCAAAGTTTAATGTCTACATTTACTTTTTCGAACATTCGTCCTCAGCGCTATTAACGGTATACTGCTTCAATTTACCCAAGTTAGTTTTCAGATTAGATTCCGTCTCGGAGAAGGCAAGCTCTTCAATGTCGTATTCATTCACTACGTCGAAGCTCATTTGAGAAGGCAAGTTTATCCACCGTGTCAAACAGTGGTAAAATTATTACAGAAGTCAGTTGATTAGATACGAAGACTTAACTCAATCTTTATCAGCAGTGATTGCAATTTTTCACTTATTAGATATCCTCTTGCGTACTATTTTTCATATTTTTCATCTTTATTTTAGTTCACGCAGCTCGCTAGTACATCGTCACTGTATCATTTATTTGTGGCGTTTGAATCAAAGCCTTCGTGCACTTAGTCATTTCTCAGAGAGATCACTTCGTATCACAGAATGACGTATTACTGTTTTTATTTTAGTATTGTTTTTACTTCAACATCGCTACCACAAGCGAAACGGAAAGACACAATTAAAGTGATCCAACCACCTGAAATTAAATGTTAAGTTTAAATTAGCCACTGTTCTTCGCAGCGAGGACTCCATTCGAAACGGGTCTATTTCATCATACAAGAACGCGATTTAGTTTACGGTCTATAATTTTCCAATTTGCGAACTTTTCTAAAAGTTACAGCTGTTAAGTCGAAGAACAGCTCGAATGCACTAACAACGGCCACACATAAATTCCTTGTGGAAAAATACGTTTCCTAGAAAGAAATTCATCATAAGTTAATTTGGTTTTCATGAAGCAGCCGGATTATTGTTCGAGTCGCACGTACTCCAAATTTAGGGAACCTCAAATTGAAAGCTGAAAAAACAGTCTGCAAGAAGCGAAAGTAAATAACGTATCGATGAACGCGGAAACGCAATTACGTGGCCACGAATTTGATTTCTATGGTAAAGGTAGACCCTCGCGATTTTAATTAACAGAAAATCTTCGAAAAGCAGTTCTAGATCGTACCTCCTTTCTGTGCGGTTTCCATGAGCGCAAATTAGACTTTTAAGACTCACCTCAGGTTATTGGTGATTTACTTGTCTGTATTGAGCTCTCAAAAGTGATTTCCGAAAACCAGCCTGTGTTTCAGGGA